GGGCCGCACATGGCTTGATTATCAAAATGTCATGCCACCCACCCAGGGAATTTCTGCAGAAATACGGGGTGGTGTGTCCACAAAGGGGGGGAGACGAAGTCACAACAACATATGACACCCAAAGGGCCAGAAACAGACCCGAGGGGGGTGTGCAGGGTTCAGAGTAGCATGATAAGCAGATCATCTGGTGGGGCCTCAGGAGTGACGAATGCTAGGGTGAATTGGTCACGATCTCTTGCATGGTCCTGCAGCTGGGATTGAAAGCTGTCGTGCTACAGCCCTGCGGGCTGGACGCGCGCCTCCCTGGAACGGATTGAGGGGTGGGTGGGGAGGGGTAACGACGTCTGAGCACCTACTGGTGTCGACGCGTCGCATCACAGCTCTCCAGCATGGTGGTGGTGAGGACCGGGAGGGATGAGTTGAGATGATATCCAAGGATTGGAGGGTTGGCAGGCCGGCTGTTCCTGCGGAATCTCTAACCCGATTTGCCCCAAGAAGACTAGATCGAGAATCATGCGGGAAGGATGATCCCGAGGCATGCACTTTGCACCCTACAATTGCAGACCACCGGAGCAGGGAGTTGTTCCTTCAGGCGGAGGGGAAACAAAAGGATGATTAATTAATGTTACCTCGAGGATCGTCATTTGCGATTATCATTACTCTTCTCTCCAAATCCCCATGTCATTTGCCTTGTGAATCCGCCGGATAACCGGACTGCCGCCAAGGCCTAGGGCCGATCTTACGAGCAACGCTTCCATGAGATAAAACCGGACGATCCCAGGGGATGGATGGGCCTTGCTGGGTCTGATAAAAGTCTTGGTCTTTCGCTCTCGCTCTCTCCCTCTCTGACACTCGGTCCCTCGGCCAGCAACACCGAGTAAATCCAATAACCCAACACCAAGACAGAGATTAATTACGTGCCCTACTACTACTCCATACCTAGTCCAGGGTACTTTTCCCGTACTCCAATCTCCATACCGTGACAGTTCACCCCTCCCTCCGACGGTGTTCCCAGCCCGCCCAGCCAGCCCAGCCTTGTTTCTTACAGGGACCCGGTGGCATCTGGTTCCTGCGCCCGCGGCGATTTCTCCGGTATGTTTGTGATGTAACGTATTATTTGTACTGAGCTTTTGCCTCCCATTGCTCTTGCTATGTTCGTTGCTGCTTTCTCATTCTCACCTCTTCCCGGGTTACTTTCTTCTTAACTTTGTGTCCTGTCGCCCTCCCCCAGTCCCCACACATTCCATCCCAGGGTGACCAGAGACAGCTGCCATCCCTTTCGGCCTACCTACTGTTTTCTACTTCTCCCCTAGAAGCTCTTCAGTCTCCGCTGTCGATACCAATTCACTTTCTCAGTCTCACCTTGGATACTGACTCCCTTGTCTATCAAAGCCTTGTCTCTCTCGCCGTGCTATCTTTAGATAGCGGGATTAGTTTATCATCGCCGGGCTTAGTCAACACCGGTGGTAACAACTAATCGCCTCATCGCCGGGTCACATAACCCAAAAATTTCCCTACCCAAGGACCGCCTTGCCACTCCCGGCCTAAAAGACTCTCCGAGCGACCCAAATACGCAAGTGACGGAAACGGCTGCTGCGAGGCCCCACCACCACCACCTGCTTGCTCATAGTGGGACCCGTCCTCGACCCGGTCTTGCCTGCAAATCTGGACAGTCCGTAGCAGATCAGTGGCAGGCTTTACCTATTCCCTTTCGCGCCAAAGTCCCGTCGCATTGTCGTGGTTCCTTGGACACTTCTTTTTAAATTTTCGTGCTCTTTTTTTTTTTAACCTTTTTCTCTTTTTTTTTTTTTTACGTTTCTCCTTTTTTAGCTCCGATTAAATACATCACCCTCCCGCTCATCCACTCTCCCTTTTCACTCCATCCATATCACCCATATATTCCCCCCTGGCCCCTTCCAGTCTACTAGCAGCTGCACACGAGCAGCTGTTGGTTGAAACGTCATGGCTCTCAGTTTCTTTGGTGGCGGAGGCAGCTCCAGTCACGCGAAATACTTTGATATCCGGTGAGTCATGGGTCTCGCACTTGCTCCGGCAGACCGGCATCCTTCCTGAATATGACGACTAACCCGGTCCTGTCGCACAACAGCCTCGATGAAGATTACATTGTGTTCCGGGGAGGAGAAGAGGAAGCCGCCAGTGCTCATCTGAGCGGAAAGCTCATTCTTTGTCTCTCGGAACCATTATCCATTAAGCACATCAGACTCCACCTCACGGGTATATCTCGGGTTTGGTAAGTGCTGCCTGCGAACCCTTCAATGTCCCGAGGAGGCGAACTAATCGAGCTTCATTAGCTGGCATTTACCATCCAGTACTGCCGGGGGCGGCAGAAAGTCGTGGAGAGAGCGAGTATTTTACGAAAAGACGTGGCGATTCAGGGATGCGGGTAAGAGCAAGACTGAAGTGCTGCCCGCCGGCAACTACGAATATCCCATCAACCTCGTTCTCGAAGGCTCCATGCCGGAGAGCGTTGAAGGCCTTACCGACACCTACGTGACCTATCGTTTCAAGGCGGAAATTGGACGCAAGTATGCCAAGGACATCATCGTTCGCCGCCCGCTCCGCATCATTCGGACCCTGGAGCCTAGTGCTCTTGAGCTTGCGCACGCTATGGTAAGCGGTTTTTATGATAGATCCTGTGTGCAGGTGACCCTCTCTAACTCTGCACTATAGTCAGTGGAAAATGTCTGGCCAAACAAGATTGAATACTCGATCAGCACCCCAACGAAAGCAGTCATCTTCGGAACCAGTATCCGTGTGGACTTCAAGCTGATCCCCCTGCTTAAGGGACTCAGAATCGGGCAGATTGTCTCTCAACTCATTGAAAGCCACGACCTCACACTGAACCCAGAAGATCCCGATTCCATTCGCAATACATACAAAAGCACGAGGACTATCTTGAATGACGAACATGAGCTCGACGAGGATAATGGGCTGGAAATCATTGATGAAATGGCAGAAGGATTCCAGTTTTCACGCCACCTGGAGCTACCCAAAACCTTGGCCCGATGCTTGCAGGACACCGACACTAGGGGCATCAAGATTCGTCATAAGCTCAAGTTCCGCGTTCAGCTACTGAATCCTGACGGACATGTCAGCGAGGTACGCAGATCTGTCGTTATGGTAGTTGTGCTGGATAACTAATCTCGATCTTGTTGCAGCTTCGCGCCACCCTCCCTGTCTCCATCTTCATCTCTCCTAACCTTGCCATTGACGAGAACAACAACCTGGTCGACCAGACCCCCCAAACGGCACAAAGGGCCATAGATGATCTTGCTCAACAGGCCCCTCCATTGTACGGCGAGCACCAATTTGACCAACTGTACAGCGAACTTGACCCCTCCGGCTACCGCACCCCGGGCCCTGGAAGTGGCCCAGGTACACCTTTCGGTACTCTTAGCCGTAACTTATCGGCCGAGAACCTTGCTTCCATGAATGCCTTGACCAACACGGACATCTCCGCTTCTGCCTTGCACACGCGTCTTGCAATTCTCCGCGCGAACGGACATAACCACCACTCGCCTACCGACCAGGACCATACGGAAAACGAGAGTCGCCGCCTGGGTATTCCTCCCGATTATTTTGGACCGTCATCAGCCCCCAATTCACACAGCCCCACAAGCCCTGAGCTCTCTCGGCGTCCCTCCGATGAGGTAGATCACGACTACATCCACTCTGGAATGGCGACACCCTACCATCCACAATATGCAGAGGTCGAAACCCTCAGCCGTGTTCCAAGTTACTCCACTGCTGTCCGCAGTACCGTTCGCCCGTGCGATTCCGAGTTACCAGACTATCAAGCTGTGATCGCCGAGGACGTTATCATCTCCGCTCCTCAGTCGCCTCAGCAGGCCTATATCCGCACTGCCGGTCGTGGGTCCTCATACTTCTCAGCTATCGATGCACTTCACAGTCGGTCTGGCCTCCTTCATTCCACCTCCAGTCATGATGACGATGACCGTCGACTGCGTCTTGTTCAAGCTCGAGCCAGGGTCTAATTACGTTACAGATACCATTAAGAGCAATAGACGTCCAATGCAAGGATCTGGTGGAGTTTGAGCCTCTCTCTGCTCTCAGGTCCTGGCTTTTCGGGCGAAGGCGCGACTGGCTCCGCCTGACCACCTTTCGCAAGACACCACATACCACTTCACATATCTACCGGGACTCAGATGCTGGCCGTCTGAGGACAATGCGCTTCAGATCCCAGTCTATGCCATAGAAAAACGTGTATTTTCATGAGGACAGCACGGTGGTTGCGTTGAGCTTCTGATTCTCTATCACATCCTTGTTCTCGGGGCGGGGTTTCATTTACCGGCGTTTGCAACTAATAGACGGGTTGGGTTGACAGGGAGTCTGGGTCTCTTTTCTTTCAACCTGTTCATTTTCCTCCTGGGGATGACAGGCACATTACGAGCAAATATTTGATGACCAGGCGTCGGCACGAGTTATGCACATGTTACCCAAAATCCCCACGGGGGGCATTTTTTATTTTACCTGTTAATAATACCTTAGCATTAGCGTTACGAGTCGACAACGATAGACATGCGAATTTTGATGCACGTCCACTGAAGTCTGAAATTGACACCACTCCGTAGTATCTATCTAGGCCTCCTTCGGATTCATGATGGGAGTCACGCTGATGCTCCGACTGGATGCCGCCACACGACCCGAGGGGCGCCCCTGAGAGTGTGGCTGAGCGGATGCTAGAGTCGGACTAACAATTGCTTCGTTGCCGGCGGATCCGCTTGCGGAGTTGGCATTTCCGAAGGGGGCATGGCGTGATCGCTCCAGGCTTCAGGCTTCAGGGTGTCCAGCAGTTGACCATCAGTCGGACATCGGGATGCACACGGTCAGACCATCTGTTGCGATCACCACAACCGGAACGGATTGGGGGGGGGGGGGAAGTGGAAATCCAGCGGGCGATCAATTCAATTCCTCTGATTTCCTGGTCTGGTCCTGAGCAATGAGGGGTAAACTCACGGGCGGTGACTTCATCGGTCGATCCCTTGCCGTTTTAATGATGCGCGCACCACCCTGGCCCCCTCCGGCTTCATTGCCAGTCCACCGATCTTAGCTTCGGCCTCGCATTATTTGCGTTTGGCGCTTAAGGATTAAATTATCGGGGTCAATCGGTCTGTACTTTACTACTTTCTAGGCCTCTCCCTAGTATCTACGTAACCGCTCGAGAGCATCGCCCCACATCCTCCGCTTCGCCGTAGGCTGGCTGCCTCTAACGATTCGACCGTCTCGACTAGCCTGAGATCGCGCTTCCGGTGTCCTCCACTGCGATTCCCGACGGCAGTTTTTGTTCCTCTTGTCGACTTCCCTCCTCCAGCAGCCCTGTCAGGATCCGTCCCCGCCAGCAACAATGTCGGCTCCAACCAGTCCCGTGGAGCACAAGCTCCCCCAGCGCTCGGGCACCATCGCGAGTACGATGACCGGCGTCAGTCGTCGCACTTCCATGAGCGATGATGAGGCCATCCCGGGGTCTGACAGCAATGAGGTATGCGAGGAGAACAATATCAGCTTCCTGATATGTTGCTGATCTTTTACTGGCTGTTAGACCACGAATCTCCTCCTCGAGCGTCTCCGTGCTTGGAAGCACATGTGTGGATACCTGGAAGAGTACGTTTCCGCGACAGCAAAGGTGTCCAAGTCGCAGGCAAAGGATTTCGAGAAGGTCTTGAAGGTGCGCGGGGCTAGGCCCATCTCTCATGCTTTTCGCAAGGGCGTCAACAGTGGTTTTACTGATACGATGGGTTTGTGGCATGCAGACTGTGAGCGACCCTCTGCGGGAAGGTCATCATTTCTCCCAGAGCGCTGGAGGCGTTGCTGGCTGGTTTGAGAATATTCGGGCCAACACTCAGGTAAATTAAAACTCGGATACTATTCTTTTGGAAATCACGACATCAACTCACGGTCCGTTTAGGGCATGGTGAACCTATACCTGGACTCTGAGAAGAACCTGAAGGGATCGGTGCTGCCGCCGTTGGAGCGTCTCCACAAGGAGATCAAGGCCAAGTCCAAGGAGCTGCAGAACGGCGCTGCTAAGGGCGCAAAGGCTGTTGACAAGGCTCGGGGTGTTACCCAGAAGCACATTGAGCTCCTCGCCCAGAACACGGCCACACTTGATGCTGCATCCCATAACAAGATTGAAACATCCCATGACCCTTACATTCTGCGTCGTGGTGTCACCCATCGCTTGAACAAACAGATCATTGAGGAGAACAACAACCGCCAGGATCTGATCGCAGTGCAGAACAACTTCCAGCAGTTCGAAGCCCATGTCCTGCAGACTGTCCAGGGCGCCATGGAGCAGTTCGTCACATACATGGGTGGTCAGCTAGACCGCCATCGTGCTATGTACACGGACATCCTGGCCACAGGTCAGAGAGTCCCTCCGGACTTCGAATGGGTCAACTTCATGACCAGAAACGACCACATCCTTGTGAATCCCGATGCGCCCCCGCGGGCACTTGCCAACATCACTTTCCCCAACCAGGAGCACCGTGCCACCAAGCCGGTCATCGAGGGCACCCTGGAGCGGAAGTCCCGCGCCATGCTCAAGGGCTACAGCAGCGGCTTCTACGTCGTCACTGCCGCCCGCTACCTCCACGAGTTCAAGGACAACGACGATCTCCGCCGCGACCCGGCCCCGGAGCTGTCCCTGTACTTGCCTGACTGCGTCATCGGCGCTATCGACGGCTCCAAGTTCAGCGTCAAGGGCAAAGACGTGTCGGGCGGCAAGGTCGGCAATGCTTTCCACACGAACACCGAGCTGAGCTTCAAGGCAGCCAACTCCAACGAGGCCGAGAAATGGTGGACTGCCATCAAGGATGCCACCCGTGCTCCAATCCACACGTCGTCCTCCACCACCACCTCGCCAACAAGCCCTGTAGCTGCCGAGAACACTCAGCCGCCCGCCTATGCCGAGAAGGAGGCCGCGGCCGCGGCCGCTCCCGCTCCCGCTCAGGCCCAGTCCCCGACTTCTCCTGCTGCAGTCTCTCGCACCAACACCAGCACCTCTGGCACTCTCCCTACTGCTTCCGGTGCGGCAGCAACTACTCCAGCGGCGGAGGAGAAGGCCTAAATGCTTGGTTTCTATTCTCATATATCAATCACGAGTTCGTGTGTACTCGCTTTCCTTTCTCGCGTATCGATAGTGTAACACACCTTCGGTACTTTGCTGCTTTTTTCGTCGATAGTAATGGATTTTTGTTGAGCTTTCTACTTGAATATATACCTGTTTTAACGATCACTTTGGATCTTAATGTATTTAATTTGCTTGCTACGAGGTTTGACACAACGCAGGTCAGTGACTAGTTTTATTGTTATACCCTGTTGCTCCTTTTCCTTTGGATTTGTCGTGTTCTCGAGTAACAGTATACAGAATGAATAGGTCTATTTAGTCTATTCTTCCACGCATATATTTATGTTGATTAGGTGGTGGATGATGTCTTCAAAAGTACACATTTATTGCAACATACCTGGGAGAAGGTAAGAGATATATCGATAACAATTTGAACGCTCAAAGTGACAACAAACGTTGGGGAGAATCATGCGAACTCGTATCAAGATAGACACAGTTGAGAAGAGAATAATAATAGGTAGGCAGTTGATACAACGAAAGAAATCGGGGAATAATTTGCACATGCTCTAGAAATCCTCCGGGCTCTCGAGATCCGAAAGTTTCTGGCTCAGGAACCTCCCTAACGCTGCGGACTTCGATTCCAGCGCAAGCAGGATGGATGGTGAGGTGGAGAGATTCAGACTCGCAAGACGGGCTAGGTCACTGCTGCGGTCGATTTCGTACTGTGTTTCAAGCTGTGCATCTGAGCTAGTGTCATTCCCGCCATGGCCTCGGCCTCCGTTGGCTGCGACGACGCTAGCATACGTCCGTCCATCATTCAGGGCTTCTGGCCCAGACGTGTGGTCGGATCCAAGCGGCGTAGAGCCGTTCAAAAGACCTTGTGCGCCGTTCGGGCTCGTTGCGTCTTCCGCATTCCCTGATTTTGATGGCCCAACTGCGGCAAGGAGGACTTTGTCCGCTATTCTGGTCACGACTGCAACGAGGTCGTCAAGTTCGAATACGATAGACCCAACATCGCCTAGCGAGGCGGAGGGGGTGGTGACATATGACGATGGATGACTGGCTGGGTTCACGCCGGTCAGGTTACCACAGGATGCATTCTTCGCGTAGCATGTATAAGCTGCTCCATACGTTGCACTCAGGTTGCGCAACTGCCGGGACGGGAGAGAGGAAGCGTATGCAAAAATGGCGCCATTGGTAGCGAACACCCTATGTCAAAACGGGACGTTAGCAGACCTAGTTTTTGGGGACAGCAGGAACGCTCGTACATCATTGATGTGATTTCCGGAGGCGAGAGGTTATCCTCTAAGAGGTCACTAAGCGCCTCCGCATCCAGCATTTTGATATCTGGAAGACCGGGAATCATGCTTTCTTCGATGTACTGCTCGTGGCAGTCTCCGGGTGCGATGTCTTCAAGGGCTTCTTCGATAGCCCAGCCCTTAGGCGGAGACCAAGAACAGTCCTCCGGGAAGAAGAAGCAGTTGTCCCAGTAATCGCGGTCGTCGTAATCGTACTCGATTGGATCTTCTGAGTATCCGAGGAGGTCTTGCGCGTACTGAACAGGGCTTCGTGCCCAGTAAGGACGGTACGGAGGGCCAAAGGGAGCGCTGGGTTTCTGGCTCGAGATATCCGGTCGCACTGGATTGTCATATTCAGCCATTTTGCCTCAGTAGGAAAGTGACGACTGAGATGTCCTGAAGGGTATGAAGAATAGGTGGATTTAGGGGGATCAGAGGTTCCGACGAAGTGTGGGTGTTGTAAAAGGGCAGAGGACAGCCTTGCGTAGGTAAGATGAAACAGAACGGCGGTGGTACAAATGATGCACAAGGAGGGATATAAGGCGCCTCTTCTAATTTCCTTTTGCCGGGGGGGCATGAGGAGCATAGTCAAGTGGGATCCCCAGCCCAACCCTGAGCCCAAAGTTCGCGTCTCATGGTCGAAGGAGGCGTGGTATGATCCATGACGTTCCAGAACACAGGGAGCAGGCCGTGGGGGGACCGTCTCACGGAGGAATGTCGAACCTGGGGGCCAATGGCCAGGGAGGAGTTGGGGGAAGGTAAAAACACGAGAATGGCATAGGTTGGGAGGGAAAGGAGAAAGGGAGAGAAAAAGAAACGAAAAGTGGCAGTCAATGGCCAACAAGACCGATGTTGCCGCGAGTGCGATGATCGCTTGGACACAGGACGACGATCCGAGGGATTCCTTGCCAAAGGAGCGGGATGAACACAGGATAAAAAGAAAGCACGAACCTTATAGAAGATGAGAGCGACCTGCGCTAGTGGTTTGGAGGGAACACGATGCTGCAAAGCGAACGACTAGAAACTGCCAAGGCGAGGTCAGTGAGTGAGGGCGTAGATGATCGGACTCGGGAGAGTTGGGGGATTCCGAGGCAGAAAAGAAGTATGGGGTATCGGGCCTCTCACCGCCTTTCTGCGACGTTATTTATCCTTTTCCTTTCGCGATACGGAGTAGAGAACGACATCAGTAGTGAGTGAGTCATGGGACTAGCCAGCTTTCTGGGACTATGCCCATGCTAACTCCCGTTCCTCTTGGTAGTAACGAAGTCGGAGTATAATAGTATATGCCTCACCTTGGCACAAAGTGGCTTTTAGTACTATTGTTGTGCATGGTAATTTTACTTGAATGGTCACATGTCCACTGCATTGCTATTTATTGTTTCCCCTCGATACCATCTTTCATGGATCAACCATGCACAAGTTGTTTACCTACATGATTCTGTCAAGGATAGCAAGATTGAGGCTATCGACAAACTAGTACTAGGACCTAAAACACCACCTATCCCCAATCAAGAGCTCCAATGAGAACTGGCATTTTTATTATTAATCGAAGCTCCCTCTGGCCTGGATAGCGTCATAGGGTGGTGGTGCCCCCACCTTTTTTCCGGCTCTCCTCACGCGGCTCACTAAACCCAACAAGCTATCTTGTCTCTCGGTCACTTTTACCCCTCCCCCTCTTTCCTGGATGTTCTCGCTTCCCTCCTTTCGCTCACCTTTCCTCAGGGTCCTCGTTCCACGATTCTCGATCGTACCTGGTACGTTTCTCGAACAATGCCAACCGATCTCTTTCCCCACTCGGCTTGATTTTAGATGCTGACAGTAGTGCGTGTAGGAACCAGTCGATCACTCGCAACCATGGCGACGGATACTTCCAAGTATAAGCTCATGCGTTAGTGCTTTCCATTGTCGTACAGAAAGATTTAGCCCGAAGATAACAATGTGTTTGTCTGGTAGACACCATGATTCGGGTCAAGGACCCGAAGAAATCCTGTATGTTCTCCTCTATCACACCTGAGTGGTTCAGAAGCTCATTGTCAATCATCGGGATTTAGTGGAATTTTACAAGTTCCTGGGCCTCAACCAGGTTAATCAGATTGATTTCCCCGACAACAAGTTCTCTCTTTACTTCCTTGCCTACGACGGACCCCAGTCTCTCCAGGGTGATCGCCATTTCACCGACCGCAACGGTGTCTTGGAACTCACCCATAACCATGGCACTGAGAATGATCCCAACTACAGTGTGGTCAACGGTAACACCGAGCCCCACCGCGGTTTTGGTCACATTGCTATCTCCGTGGATAACATTGAGGCCGCTTGCAAGAGACTCGAGGATGCCGGTTATCCCTTCCAGAAAAAGCTCACAGAGGGCCGTATGCGGCATATCGCTTTCGTCAAGGATCCCGATGGATACTGGGTCGAGATTATCCGCCGCCACAATGAGGATGTTGGTACCACGACTGATCCGTCCAGCTACCGGTTGAACCACACCATGCTTCGTGTCAAATCTGCCGAAGCCAGTTTGAAGTATTATCAGGAGGTCTTTGGAATGACTCTACTGCGCACCGTCGAGAACAAGGACGCCGGTTTCAACCTCTACTTTTTGGGATACCCTGGCGCCAACCCTGCACTTCGGGAGGATGCCTCCAACCCGGTCTCCGAGTGGGAGGGCCTGCTCGAGCTTACCTGGAACTATGGCACCGAGAAGCAGGAGGGCAAGGTGTATCACGATGGTAACACGGAGCCACAAGGATTTGGGCACATCTGTAAGTCAAATCACTTGACCCTTTGTTTCGGCAAGCCAGCTCTATAGAGAGGACTGTTATCGCTAATGTCGTCGGTACCTACAGGTGTCTCGGTCGATGACCTCCACGCGGCCTGTGATCGATTCGAGTCTCTGAACGTCAACTGGAAGAAGCGTCTCACTGATGGACGGATGAAGTACGTGGCGTTTATCCTGGATCCCGATGGGTACTGGATTGAGGTTGTCCAGAACGAGGCCCTCAAGCGCACCGGCAACCTGTGATCAAGGGATCTCGTTACGCTGTATATGGTTGTCTATGGTTGTGGTGTGAATTGCTTGCCCGATGTAGTTGTTGGAAGCGTGTACCTATCTGTTCTCCATATATATTGATCCAGGGTGCGGCCCCGTTGGTGATGCCGAGGACAACGCTGTTGGTAGTAAAAAGTGGGCGAGTAGCGCGGGATTTCTTTCCCTTGGGGGATGCTTGGGTTACCGAGAGGGTGATTGGCCCGTGGGGTGGGGGATCTCCCCCGCTTCGCCAGGGCCTCCCGCCTATCAGAGGATCGCCAACACTTCCCCAGAGCATCGTCGCCGACCGGGCTGAGACCCCCGAGCAAAGACAGCAGACATTGACGCGGTGTGTGTCCCATGTCTGTCCGTCCTCATGACCTCCCTCCCTGAATCGCATCTTGGACCATGCATGCTGTCAGACTGCCCTCGGTCGATGTTGGTTGACTGGATGTGTTTCTCTTCTCACCCTCCTCGCTGATCTTCCTCCATCCCCCGGGGCACTCTTGCGCTGCTGTTGCACCGACCCAACAAATCGTGAAATCGCCATGCAGCCGCAGTCGGAGAAGCCCAAGCGGGCTCCCCGGAAGCATGTCACCACCGCCTGTGTTCCTTGTCGGGAGAGTAAGATCAGAGTATGTGACCTCGTCTCTTGGATGCTTTTATCGGATCTTTACAGAGTTACCCCGGGCTGACGCAATTTGGGCAGTGTGATGGGGCTACTCCGAATTGCCACAACTGCGAAAAGAAAGGAAAGGATTGCAAATACCAGCACGGTGACGATAAGCGGAAGTAGGTCCAGCTCGCTCCATCTATGTCTTGTCCGCTGGCCTGTTTGAATTACCTCGCGTTCTGTGTAACGACCGTCTCGCGAAGATAAAACCTGGAAAGGGCATCGGATTTTTGGCGAGCGCAGTGTCCGCACAGCCAACCAAGGCTGACTTTAACTCTCCCAGAGTGTCTCTTCGCGCAGCCACGGAGCTGTTTTCCGCCAGAATAGACCAGCTATGTCAATTCATCTACGACAATGGGCTAGAGCCACCCCCTATGAAACCCGAAGACGAGTCGGGAATGAACAGAGTTCTGGACACCCTGCAAATTCCTCGGGGACTAGCGAAAAGGAGAGACTCAGTGGCATCTATTGGGCACAATGCGCTGCCTCAACCAGCCGTCACACAATCCCCTGACCACACTCCACCCCCTCTTCCTTCAGGGAACCGTCAGATGGGTGTCACCGAGAGTATGCCCGCAGTTTCATCTCCCTCGCACAGTGTACTTTCCAATCAGCGATTCCTGCCCCCGGCTGAGAAAAGCCAAGACCACATGAACACTCTGGCAATAAACCCAGGGTTGTCAACCAATTATCCTTCGACGCACTGGGGGTTCACTCTTCCCACGGCTGAAAGCTTGGATGCCCTATATGCCAATATAGATGGCGCTTCCAGTCGGTCAAATGAGAACAGTCTGAGTCCAGATAGCCTGCAGTTCACACCGGACATATCCCAACAGCCGGGCGTGCTATTGGGCCAAGCGTGGAACGACAGAGACAACGATTCTGACAGTGGCGAGGAAGACGAAGCTGAGAAAGATGTTATTGAGCAAATTTCACATCGTATAGGGACTCTGAAGATTGCAGGCGATGGCCATCTCAGGTTTTATGGAGCCACTTCGAATCTCAACCTGGTAGACGTGTCTGCGACACAACAACGCCAGCGTCCAGATGCACGGACTGTTCGTCACGATGGACAAGATATCTTGAATCATCTGCGGGTTGGACAGCCTGTTGATCCCGCACTCGAGGACCATCTTGTCGAACTTTACTTTACCTGGCAAAATCCCAGTACCTACGTGGTCGACAAAGATATGTATATGGATGCGAGGATGAAATGGAGAAACGACTTGATAGACACACCCTTCTATTCGGAGGTCCTCACAAATGCAATGTTTGTTAACTTCTCCGGTCTCGTCCCGTTCTCCGACTAATAAATTCCAGGTGCGCCATCGGAAGTGCATTCGAAACTCGGTATCATACTACTTTTATCACATTCCCCAAATCTCTGTCAGAATTCTTTGCAGACAGGGCGAAGGCTCTTCTCGAAATCGAATTGGACTCTCCTTGCGTCGCTACTGTTCAGGCTCTCGTTATTCTGAGCTCCCACGAAGGATCCTCTAACCGTGATGCTAGAGGTTGGCTCTATAGCGGTAGGTTGATAGTCTAGGGAAACCGGCATGGCATACTAACAGAACTTAGGCATGTCGATGAGACTTGCATTTGATCTTGGGCTGCACCTGGACACGACACCTTACGTTGAAAAGGGCGACATAAGTGCTCATGAGGCTGACGTGCGTCGAATTGCATTCTGGGGAAGCTATACTGCCGATCAGTGAGTGTAGATGCCTTGGTAATGAGCTCCCGGTATTGTCTGACCTCTTCGATACAGCTTTTGGGGCTTTTACTTGGGAAGGCCCTTCCGAATGAACGCAGGGGACATCACTATTCCGAAGCCTGCCTCCGACCTGGGTGCTGAGAAGGAAGGCATGTGGTATCCGTATGGGCTACCGATGAAACCGGACGCACTGGAGAATGGATTGAAGAACCCAAATGAATTAATCAGTCGACAATTCGCTGTTCTTTGGGAGATCATATCGCCCGTTGGCCATATCCTGTTGTTTTCCTGCTCTCTATGTCCCTGTCAAGTGCTAACTCAGTATATAGATACGGTTGCTCCGACATTCCACGCCATGACCTGCAGAGATTGTGTCACAGGGTAACGGATGACCTATTTGCTTGGAAGGCCAACTTGCCCTCAAATCTGGATGTTGATCTCGGAAATGATGCTGTTCCGAAGCTACCTCATCTTCTAGTACTTCAGTATGTACTCCACATGAAACTGCCCTTGTAAGCTAACCCGAGTGTAGCATGCAATACCACCAAATTGTTATTTTTACCCACCGACCCTGGGTTTCGAAGAGCTACATCCAACCACGCAGTCCGCGCCAAGGACCTGGATATCATCACGCCCGACGGATGTGCGTTGATTCATCAATAGCGATCGCACGACTCCTTCATATCTACGAAAAACATTATACATTCCGGCGTATGAACAATCAAGTCGTCGCCATCATTTTCAGCGCAGCCCTAATGCTGCTTTATGTCACTATTTCGAGCTCTCGACCGGGCGGAGATAGCAGCAGCAGCAACGCTGAAATGGTTGCATATTTGAATCTTTGTTTCCGTGCACTAGACGAGATAGGCCAATCGTTCGAGAATGCCAAACGGACCCGAGACTTTCTGGTTAGCTTGCAACGGCGTTGGCAAGCACACATGCGGCGCTCAGGAGCACTTAAGCGCCAAACAAGCCACCAGCCCTTGACGCAACAACCCACAGGGCGTATCACGGACCCAGAGGCATCACGAAAGAAGTCCCGAGTTACCGCGCCCAGAAACCAAGCCGCAATTCCCCTGTCCTTACCCACATCATCCTCCTTAACAGGCGCAGGCCTCTCCTTCAACCAACCACAACCTCAGCGCCGGCCTGGACAACCGTCTTTTGATCCTTCCCAACAATTGGGCGCATGCCAGCCTGGAGATCTGGATTGGATCCGGGATTCCGATCTGCAATTGCTCTCCGAGAATCTCGGAGACAACGGGTTTCCCCAGCCGGGGAATACGAACTCGTATGGGGACGACCCGGCCCTGCCCAGTCTGGCTGATATTGAGCCGTGGTGGGATTCACCAAATGTGAATACGTTTGGAGGGTCTTCGTTATGATATGAGTACGGATATCATCTAGTTCAATATTTGATATTTCTATTGCTTTATCGTCACTTTTCTTCCTGCATCTATCATACTTTGTTGTCTTAGCGAATGCTTCCATGGCTATCCTGATGTAGGTGCGGCCCCACCATAATAATACTTGCTTTCCATGCGGGACTATCATCTGTTCCAGACTATATACCTTTGTTCCGTCGACCAATCATCCTGCGTCATATACCTGAGTTGGTAAAGAACACGACTTGTGCGGGGTACCCCGTTCTATCTATTTCTCATAGCATGGTCCCAACTTCGCCCTCAATTCATCATCACCTCCCTCAGCCAATCCGCTGCCCTGTGATGTGAGAGAGTCCAATCATGCTCCAGGAATTGAGTGAGGGTCACTCTCTTCTGACCATACCCCTTCTCGCGGCCCCAGAAACACGCCCGTTGCATAACATCGACCATTTCGTGGGCTTGTTGATATAAAACGCTATCTGTGTGAACCCTTTTCCATTTCCGTGCTCCCGGGGCAGCCATCAAAAGCCCTGATTTAGAAAGAGAGTCATCAACGCGAGTTGATATCCTCACCCAGGGAAGTTCCATCTCGAGCCGCTTGATCCCCTGACCAGGATGATGCCACGTTGGACCACTAGTCCCATAATCCAGACCGAATGGCGGCCATCTCGAGATGGCCTTTCGTCTCCGAGGCGGTTCGCGTTTCGTTTCACTATCCTTAGAATACGAATCATGCGTACTCTCCTGCTCCTCATGTCGATACACATCCAAGGAGTCAAGAAGGTCCTCGCCCTCAGACGCATTACCAGCTTTCAAAACGGGAACTGGATACTCCGGTCCTGTATAATACTCCGGAAACGAGCGGGGAGTGTCCTTCCCCGCAGAACGAAGAAATAAGATCGGTGACGCAAAGGCGTCGAAATACCGCTCTGGGGTGGAGAAATACGCCTTCCTTGCTGCTAGAAGTGGGGGAAGGTCCCATGGTGCGACTCTTCCCCTGGGATGCTTTTTGTTGCGCCAGCTAGTCAAGGCTGCCTTTTCATCCGTTGGCGGTGATTGAATACAATGCTCATCAAGGGATGTCCAATCGCAGATGGGCTCTAGAGCCGCGACTGCGTGGATGGACTTGGCTTCCGTGAGGGAGAGCATTAGGGCCAGGGAGCCGCCAATGTGCGTGCCAATGACGCTTAGACGACTAGGCTGCAGGGTCTCCAGAATCCAGTCGAGGCCAGCGAGGGTGTCGTGGACGGGGGTTGGGTATTTGTAATCGTGGAATGCCAGGTCAGTGGGATTATCGGAGTTGGTTGGCAGATTTCCCAGACGGTAGTTGATTGTTACTATCGTTGAGGATGTGATGGTTGCTAGGCTGCGTGGGACATATTCCTTGGAAGGTGGTCCCCTGTGACGGGGTGGTGAATACGTGGGAAGGCCCTCGGGGCTAAAAGAGAAGATTGGACCCGGCGGGAGACGGATGATCACATTATCACGGGCCCTAATGGGAGCATAGGTGGGGTGGGTGATACTGGGAAGTTGGTTAGATCTGGGAGTTGGAGCGTGCTTGATGGTTGGGGTGGATACTTACTCGAGTGCTATAGAGCCGTTGGCTCCTACCGGAATGTTGATGCTATCACGGTACTCCGAGAATGATGCTGCTTGGGTCAATTGATATATGTAAGGATGTCGGGGACAGGTTGATTTCGGGCGCATATAAAGTATACTGATATATCTACCTCCTGCTGGAGACAGCTGTTTGGAAGAGAAGACACGCATTGCGCCATGTCAAAGAGAGTAGTAAAGAGATGGAGGAAACGATGAGGAAGGTGGGTGGAGGACTATGCTAGTGATCCCGGCATACCTTAGTAAGCATCCAGTTATGCAGGCTGTGATGCGCTAGCCCGTAGTGAGCTAGTGGAACGATATCGAGTCGATCATTATTGGCTCAAGATCTCTCACAGGGACGTAACGAAGATCTCTTACCATAAAGCAGTCTTTTCTACTCGTTTCTCACTAGTACTTTGTCTCGTTGTCAGTGTTGCAGTATTGTTACAACCAGAGCTTGACCAAAACGTATCTCATTCTTTTTCACAAGTCAATTACCAGCATATATGTGGAAGATGGCGATATCTTATAAGATCCAAGGTCTTCTATGTAGGTAATACCCACAAAGATTGATAAGTCTAGAATAAAGGGAAATGCGGGATCAGATCTACGTTGATCTCTTTTAGTCAACAAGTCTGGTCTTTGGCGATCAGTACGTCGCCGACCGTGGCTTGAAGTGCATGAAACCATCACCCAACGCTCTGGGTATTCTTTACACATGTCGACGAACCAACGCGGAGGCCAAGAAACTGCCTATCATCGTGGTCTATTCAAGCACTTCGCTGAATAACAGGAATGCGGATTGGATACCCTAATTGTAGTATTTTGACCAGAAGAACACCGGGCCCTAACATTCAGCCATACGTCTGTGTCAATTCCCCTCAGTTTGACTGGTCCGTGCTGGGGCATTCTTTTTTTCTTCCGGCTTGTCCGGGAGTAGAAAGCCCTTGTATTGAGGCTTTAAGTTCATGGGTTCATGAAGTAGCTCTGACCCAAGTATGATCAATGCATGGGACGGATGTCCAGAACTAATGTACCTCAACAACAAATGACTTGCAGAGGCCCGTATGGAGAAGACACAGGGTCACCAACCCACTACTCACTACTAGACATGCACCGGCATCGTAACTTCCCTCGATGTATGACAAAGGAGCGGCCAAGGGAAGCCGAGGACTATGTGCATATTCTGGCATGTATCCTCTGCGGCGACCGCTTTGGGAACCCGGAAATGCCCTGGCGACACTATTTTCGCGCCCGTAAGTCTTTGACGGAACAAATGTCCTACTAACGGGGTTGACCATTGTTCAAAAACAGTTTATCAAGCCTCGGATTTGGTCGGAGTGTCCGAGATCGGGCTATGGAGTTCCCATGTCCCTCTCAAGGTGCCCGCGGACCAGGATGCAGAATGGGACACCATGGGGGAGGACTACGTCATCCTGTCCGATCTCTCATGCTGGCCAAGAGATCTGTTCCTCTTCCATGAACTCTGCTGGCGGAGATTGGTGAAGCATATCGCGACGGATGACATAGACTGCAGTGACCTCTACATCGTGTTGAAGAGACTTCCATCTCCATCAAAACCTGGTTCGTCACCCCTCTCATTGAAAGCATCCTTGCTACCGCGTGAGGAGTAACTCCGGCCAGACTGACCCAAGATCCGTTCATAGGTCCTTCGGGCTATTTTGGTAGCGACTTCGAGCGGTATGAGACACCCCCGTTGAGATACCTCCTTCAGTCTGAACGAGACCGACCCAGATGCGCTGCCGAACTACAAACCACGCTGACCAGAAACTGCAATCCGACTGATGGTTTTAGACGACTTCCTCTCGAGATAATAGAGGCTCTTGGGGCACTTCTGTCTACTCGAGATGTTCTCAACAGTCGCCTTGCATCGCGAGCAATGGGCCTGCTCTTTCACAGCCCCACGTTCTGGAAAACCTGGTTTGAGATCAATGGGGAGCGAGGGTTCCTAAATTACCTTATCAAGCGTGGCCGGAAAATTGACTGGCGACTGCTGTTCCACAGTACGTGTACGATGCGATGCGGTCGTTCGTTTGAGTTGACTATCCGGGCATGGGAGAGCAATCGGTGGGTAAGAGATGCATTACTATGCAAGCCCAGGGTGCCGTTCATGGACTTTGGTGGCAGAGCTCTGCAGCACTATCATAATACTGCATGGCCGGGGATATATAGACGTTCCATCAGCATCCCGCCGGACTTGATGATAATTGGGGTGTCAGTTTTGCAGGAAATAGGGGACGATCTGATTTGTATCAAAGGGTTAGAACTCATCCGAGCAGATGGGTCAAGCGTACTCCTTGGATCGAAGATTGCAGGAGCACAAGTGATAAGTGAAGATTTGCCTGAGCTTCTCGATGCCCCAACCGGTTGGTTTGGATCGTCCTACTCTTACGCATACCCGGGAATTCAGATGCTCTTAAACGCACGAGGTCTGCAAGGCTTTTTTATTTCGACCGCCATAACCGGAGGGGTCGGTCGTTTGCAATTGATTCGGCGTGGCGGCTGGTCAGTACCAGTGGGCTATAACTACGGTGAGGGATTCACAAGCCATGCGTTCTAAATGGATCAAGTGGCTGAGTTGATTGTGGAGTTTGACGTGCGTATATACTCTTACCTTCAAGACGTAGATTTCGTTACTAAATAGCTGACAAGCTTGACAGATTTACAGACTCATGCAATTAGGCATCCGGGGCTTTGGGAGCAACCAGAAGACGCGAGAATGGGACCGGGATGGGTACTACCCTCCATACTGGACTTGACTAACACTGGCCTCATAACAGACGCATTCTGAATGATTCACAATGTGAGCAAACTGTGGGGCATTCAATAGGAATGTGTCAGACAATGGGCATTGTAGACACCGGGTATCTGTGTGTTAGATCTTCGTAGGGGTATATATATCGCGTAAACGTCCAGTTCTATGTTAATCACACATCTCCCTTCATAAATATTCGCAAGATGAACTCCGCCACTCAGGTAAGGATCATGCCCAATAATGACCTACTCTGTATAGACTAATCAATGGCCAGATTATCAAGAGAGCGATTTTCCTCCCGGGCAGCGTCGTCGGGGCTGGCCCCCGACACAACAAGACCAAGGTCGAGAAGAAGAAGAAGGAAGAGGAGGAGGAGCGTAAAGACATCAAAAAGATGTCCAAAAAAGACAGGGTATGTTGAGAAAAGCTGCTCGATGATTGTAATCTAATCGTCTTTCCACCAGGAGAAGGAAATTGAAAGGCTGCAGGCAGCCATTCTTAAGGAGGAAGAGGAAATTCGGCGCAAGAGAGAGAAGATCGTGGCTCTGGAGGGGGTCATGGGGGATGGCGAAGGCGGGAGCGAGGAAGCTGAGCATATGGAAGAATGAAGTATTCTTAAATTGAAATCTACATACCCCATGCCTCTGGTTTTCAAGTCTCATTAGGTTCGACCCGTGATTTGACTCGCGGGAACTCCATTAAGCAGTGTGTCCCTCAGGCACCTTGATTATCATGTGATCGAGTCGTAGCTCTTCCTCATCGCCGCATCTTTTGCTGTTTGCTTCCCCCATCTTCTGAGCCCGATCCCAATTCTCCATCATTCATTCAAGAGCTAACCATCATATAATCAAGCTTCATAGTCCAGAGTACATACATAGTACATCGTTAGGAACGACCTCGAGGAAGAAGAGGCTCTGCCTGCTAACGATGACCTCACCGTGACATTCCTAAGCGGAGACATGTTCCTCCTTAGCGCCTGCTATATCTCTCTACTTCATGACGTTGAGTATTCGGTCATCTTGGAGCTCTGATACTGAAGGACTTAATGATGGCCTACATTTCCACCGGACCCAGGGAGTTTGTTCAATACCTTCTATGTGGGGCGCATATTGGGAAAATGGCAAATGAGCTCCCTTGGCGAGACTTTTATCGAGCCCGTGAGTAATCATAATGAAGACTTTTGGCTGCTTTACTAACCTTGCAGTTTACCAGAATCGTGGCGTCGTGGCACTGTCCGGTGTGGGTGAAAGAAAGGATTTCTGTTACTTCCAAGTCCCAGCCGATCGAAACACACTATCAGACGCCATGACGACTGATGAGTACACTACTTTGCTTAAGTTGCGCTGTCAGCCCTGGAATATTCTTATCCTCCACGACATATGTTGGCAACACCTGGTGCAACATTGGGACCCGGACGACATTGATTTAGAGTGCCTTTTCAATGTGCTGTGCAAATTGCCGAAATTTCCAGGTCCTGTGTCTCCCTTTCTGTAAATTTGCTTTTCATCCCATTTCTTTCCTTTGTCGGGCCTGACACAAGACTCCCTTATAGACAACGAGTCACGCTTTGGAGAATATGCATATCCTTTTGAAACACCAACTTTGGAGCAGCTTCAACAGTCTCAACGAGAACTCCCCTCCCGAAGACATATCGAAGAGGAAGAAAAGCTGGCCCCAAGACGAAATTCTACAGACTGCTTCCGGAGGCTCCCTAGAGAAATCAGAGAAATGGTTGGAGCTCTTTTGCTAACCAGTGACGCCCTTAGCGCCCGTCTTGCTTCTCGATCAATGTCAGAGATTTTCGACAGCCAGATGTTTTGGAGATCACGGTTTGAAGTGAACGCAGAGCGGGGCTTCCTCAGTCATTTTCTTCGCCAGCTTCAACGTAACAGGACCCCCTTTGACTGGCGACTACTATACCACAATACGTGTCAAATTCGGTGTGGTACTTCGTTTGATCTGACGATCAAAGTGTGGGAAAATCGTCGGTGGGTTGCAGACGCGCTGAATTGTCAAGCACACGGGGTAGTAGCTGCTACACCTCCTCTCATGGAATTCGGCGGCAGAGCCTTACATAACTACCATGGTACCATTTGGCCTGGGACACATATTGAGACTGTCATGCTGCCGCCAGATCTGGTGAGGGTTGGTATCGCGGTCGTCATGGAACATGGTAGCAAAGCAACTCGTGTCACTGGTCTTGAATTCATCTGTGATCATAGCCCGAGCGCGTCTCTCGGATATAAAACTCCGGGAGCAAGGGTCATGAAAGAAGAAGAGCCTGGCGCTAGGGAGATACTTCATCCGATATCCGTTGATTTCTTAGAAGTGTTTCTATACCCGGGAGTTCAAATACTTATGGAGGCCGCGTCACTACAAGGCTATGGTATTTACCGTGACTCGGAGGGCACCCGTTTATTGCAGCTGCTGAGAGACGGAGGGGATACGGAAATAGTAGGCTTGCCGAATATTGAAGCATCAAATCAGGAGCAATATCAGTTCCGAATGGATAAAGTGGTTGCGGTGACTGCTGCACTTGATGTAAGTGCGAACTCTCACAACGGTTTCATCGCAGAACTTTTGATGATTTGATAGGTTCACGGTATTAATGATTTGGGAATTCGAGGGTTTGGAAACCACCAGGCGAGATCCCAGAATCTATACTTTGGAAGGGATATATTTGACACTATCCCTATCTAGTTGATGAGCAAGGGCAGATACTGTCCTCGTTGATAACTGCCTCGACTATCAGTTCTTGTTGATTTGACGAGTATGTAGGAACAGCTTTATTGGGCGATGTTCAAACTTACGGGAATTCTGAGTCAGATTGAAACCAAAATGTCTCTGAGATACACAGTGCGAGCTTCTGGGTTTTGCTTACTATGAATAAACAAGAGAAAACGGCATCAAAACAATCATATCTAGCCGAATAGCCACCATCCCCTCAACTAGACTACTAGACATGCCCGCTATCTTGCATCTCCACCAATCGAGACACTATATTCTCGGATGCCGCACTCGCCGCTGGATCATCCATATCAAGCGATGCCTCGACATCATCTTCCGGCACGGGGCGGAGCACCTCCAGAGACAGCTGGGAGTCCTTTGAATAAACGCGCAAGCCGACCACAGATACAGCATTCCATGGATCACTATTAGCGTCTCCCTCACCACTGCACGAGGTCCTCGTAGGCGTGCGGATCTCAGTCGGCTCATCCGGGGGCATATCGATATCCGAGTCGAATTCGAACCCATCCAGATACTCTGAATGATGATGATGATAATGATGAGAGGTGTGGTGATTATCCCGAACAGAAAGGGAATTTCTGCCTCGAGCATGATGACCACCGCTGAACTGAACCGAAGGAATAGGATCCTTCTCGCTAAGGTCGAGTTCACTGATCGGCAAGTTTGAGGGTGATTTTACCGGACCGTCGGGGACAACCATCTCCTCAGCAGCGGCGGATTCAGCCTTCTTGACAGTCACAGTGACAGTCTGAGACTTGGTCGCGAGTCTTTCTTCAAGTCGACGTTGTCTGGCCTCTAACTTTCTGATCCGGATCCATTCTTTTTGAAGTCTCTTTTTGGTTTCGTCTCGGTGTTTTCGGCGTTCGGCGGCCTTGCGTCGCTCTTCTCGCTCTTCGCGGGCTTGTTTCTCCGCTGGGGTCTCTTGAACGATGCCCTTGGCGTGGGCTAGGTCGTAGGAGAGACCGATTTGGAGGAGTTTACCGCGTTGGATGGGAGCGAGTCGCCGGACGGCTTCTTCGGTAGGGAGTTTGTCTCGGTTTCGGTACGCGGTGACTTTCATGAGGACGTAATAGCGGCCTGCTTCGAGGTCGACTTCGACGTTGACGGATCGACACATGAGTTCGTTGCCGTGGCTGCGGACGAAGTAGTCGTCTTCGCCTTCTTTTTGAAGTCGGAATTTCAGGACGAATTCGTATTCCCCCGCGAGGCCTTTGTAATATCGGTCGTCGAGCTAGGGGTTTGGTTGGTTAGTGATGTTGGAGTGGAGGGAGGTGTTTTGGTGGGAAGGGGCTCACTTGGGAGAGGACTATGATGGCGGGGCCGGGGTTCTTAACATCAAGAACGAATTTGGTGCTGTGGTAATCTGCTGACCATGGGACGTTCAGGGTTGTCCACTGCTGGGTGATTGTCCATTCGTCGTTGAATAGACGGATGCGATCGAAATGTTGGTATTTCTTGAGGAGGTCGTCGTAGGAGATCCAGAACAACTTGTGCTTATGAGTATGTCTTCCTCCAGTAAATAGAACGGGGGGCTTACGCCGTCGTTGCCAAATTTATGTCCCAATTTCGCCATCCATTCTGGAGTCCACTGCTCGGATCCGTCGCTCCACGCTCCAGTCCATTCTTTCTTACCCCAGGGGTTTCTGAATTGAATCAGCTATGGTCCAAGGTGAATATTTGGATCTACGTACCTCAGCCGGAGCAAGCGCTGTCCATCGATTTCTCTCGCTTCCATTATCGAATATGAATGATTCTCGGAGATGCCCTTTCTGTCTCTAGGAGGACCACGATAATCCGGGTCGAGCCAGTTGGAGAACAGCCCGGTACCACAGCCAAAGAGAAATTCCTTGTTGACTTGCATGAGCTCTTCCTTCCAAAAACGGTCCTTGTCTAGGATATTGCTCGTGAGTATGTCGGAAGTGACACCGCCAGTGAGGTCCTCGAGAGCCTCCCTGCGATACATTAGCATCTGAATTGAAGAGGACGCGTCGAGATATCCTACCCGACAAAACCGCCTTCGATGGCAGAGTAGTCGCCATGTGCCTTGGCGTAAGCCTTTTCAAGCAAAGGCAACCAGGTTTCGTTTTCATCCACACATTGAGCGAAATAAAGAGCACGCGAGCCGGTTTGCCAGACTTTGCGATACTCTTCTTCTGTGTCCATCCGATTGATGTCATCCCAAATTGGCCGTTCCTCCACAGACTCGTCGTAATCCGCGGCACGAAGATATAGTTTGTCGTCCACGATGCATTGCTGCCAGTCACCATCTGAGGGTATTTAGCTTCCGCTTCAGGCGCTCTCTTTCTCTCCAATGCGGTTGTAGCTCACCTCGGTAAAACACAAAACCATAGACCCCAACTTTCTCATTGCGAGCGACGCAAACCTTCTCGATCAACCCTTCCTTGTTTCCCATGGTACAAAGCGCAGCCATGAACCAACAATCTCCGTCGCGGCCTTGACGTACATCCGAGGCAGTGGGCCCGTTGATATAGAATTCCGGCTTGTCGAAGATCTCCTTTGTTTGACACCGGAATGTTAGAGACTGCCTCATTCTACATATAAGCTTCATGAGAAGCTGGCACTTACAGTTACCCTCTTGACGCCCCTCGGAAGCATCTCCAGATTCTGTTGGGCCAGACCTTCGAGGTAGTTCCTTCTTCCGCATTTCAAGTCGACTTCGATATCAAAATGCGGGTCGGTATATTTTTGATTCAATCGTCCGCATTCCCTTGCAATGCGCTCGACAGCGCGCTGGCATTCCAGCCGAGCCTGCTCATAAGACTTGCTGGCGTGTTGTCCCTGAATCACACCTTTTGGTGTTCTCGCAGCTTTTGTGCGCGCATATGGATTGTCCGGCAACACCGTATTAACCAATCCAGGAAACTTGGAATTGAAATCATCCCAGAACTGTTTCATGGTTTCTTGAGGTGGTTGAGTTACCTTTCTGCGCATGCGACATTCAGACCGAGATGAGGGTGGAGGAGTGTAGACTAAGTCGGCGTTGTCCTCGTCCATAGTGATGGCCGCCAATAAGCAATTATACAAAAGCGCGAACAATGAGGGGAAGAAATATCTAGTACTGAGACAATATAGAAATGAAGATAATCGATGCCAACAATTTCAGGACGCATGCCCCGCCTTAAAAGCTGCGCTCCTCGAGTACCCCTCGTATCGCTACTGAGGCCGAACAAATCAACATGAACCTCCTTGACCCTGGCAATCCTCCAAAGCGCCTGTAGGGTATGATTGGAAAAGTCAACCAATAAGCATACTTAGGCTGTGTCGCTGCTGTCCACTAGGGCGCCTTGCGCGCAGAAATCATCTGTGATCAGCTGGTCGACTCTTAGATCAGCGGCACCATATGCAAGTTCATGCACGCTATGCCTTGGTGAAACAGATACAGCCGTTCGTGTATGTAGGCTGAGGAGTAGACAGGGATGTCACAAGCTGAGACTCAGCTTGTAAGCATCTTATGTTGAAACCACGTTAATATTGAGCAGCCAAGAAAGTCCCAAGTTCTGTGCTCACGGGTCACAATGCTCGGCACGTCGGGATCAACGGTATTCCAGGAGATACGCTGGATGTCAGTGGTCATTATTAATAGAAGACCAAAGCGCTTGCATGCGGGATACGAGTGTTCTCTCAGCGGCAGAGTAAGCGCCCGGTCAAGGGATCGGCGATCCGACTCATACTGCCTGCTCATTGGGAAGAAGGCACTTTTGCTTTGCCAGCCTGACGCTGTGTGATTGGAGACGAGGAGGAAGAAAAAGACATCGTCGCGGAGACAAAGCCGACCCTTGGTTGGGCGGGATCGAGTCACGGCACACCACGTGGACCTCATTGGCCGGGATCCGGGGGAAAGCAGCCCGGGATATTCAACCCGTCATTTTCGCCGACGCTCAACCGTACTGTTGCTATTATTATACTATTGTTTCCTTCGGCATTTACTCATTTATGGGTATGTACGCATAAGTCAAAACACTCCTTGTAATATCCAGTATCCTGATCTCGTCCGTTCCAGAGCACTCCGCAAGCAACGCCATGAAAAAAGGAACAAATATAACGGAACAGAAGAAAATCCTAGAGCACCACGAAAAATAAAGTAGAGATACTGGGAGAGCCCGGGTGCAGGCAGTGGGCCAGTAGATAAGTCGGGCGAGGCTGAGAGACCGTGTGTTACTGCGTCTGTCACAGTTGTCCACATGCATAAATGTATCAACATACAGATCATGGCGAAACATGGATAGGTTAGTGCACTCCATTTCTCCGGGTGCGTCCGGAATAGAAAGCGCTGCCGTTTTTAAAGTAGGGGTGCATGCAGGCTTGTTTGGCTGAGATACGACGTGCTGGGTCATACTCGAGCAGGGCATCGAGGAGGTCCAGACCATCTTCTTCGAGGTCAGGGACCAGTGCCCGCGTTTCATCACGTTTCCACTTGGGGAACGTCGATTTGAAGTCGGGGAAGGAAGTGACGCCGGGCCAGGCATTTTCATCCGGAGTACCGAGGAGTCTGTTGGCCAGGATTGTCAGACGTTGGGCGGTTCACGCATCGGAGGGAAAGCATACCGGAAGATTTTGAAGATCTCGTCAATTTCAGAGTCACCGGGGAAGAGTGGCTTGCGAGTGCACATCTCTGCAAAGATGGCACCACAAGACCACATATCAACTCCGGTGGAGTATTGACGGCCACCCAAAAGAATTTCAGGAGAGCGGTACCAGAGAGTTACAACCTAGCGAAAGTCAGCGATAAGCCCCAATAGCAAGACAAGTCCAGTGCGCGGTGGAAATACCTCATGGGTGTAAGTCCTCAGAGGAACACCAAACGCTCTCGCCAAGCCAAAGTCCGCCAGCTTGAGGTTACCATCACGGTCAATCAAAAGATTCTGGGGTTTGAGATCACGATGCAAAATCCGGTGGCTGTGGCAATAACGAATTCCCTCGACTAGTTGAGCCATGAACCTCTTGACCATAGCATCCCCGAGACCCATGTTCTTGCTCAAAGCAGAACCTTCGGGGAGAGCTTTGCCACGTCCACCTTCACTGACAGGAAGAGCCTCCATATACTTCTTGAGGTCGAGGTCGAGGAATTCGAAGACGAGGTAGAGCTTGTGGCCATCGGCATGGACGATGTTGAAGAGTCGCACAATGTTGGGATCGCTCATCTCCTTGAGCAGGGAAATTTCGCGGATGGCTGTGCTTGGAACGCCTTCATCCTCCGCCTCCAGCCTAATCTTCTTCAGAGCCACAATGCGGTTGCCATGAGTGAGGTCGCGAGCCTTGTAAACGACACCATACGTTCCTACATTCAACAGCTCCGAATTAGCCCCAGGTCCAAGGAAGCTCATGTTAATTGAATGAGAGATATATCGAAGTATGTACGGGTATGGCTGGCCTTGTGTAGGTAAACATACCTTCACCAATCTTCTCGATTTTCTGGTAGTTCTCCATGATGAGGATGTCTCTCGCTTTCCTTGATTCCACGCACAAGCACTGCAAACTAAACCAGGAGTACAAGGATGAGCCGATTCAACGTATTGTCGAGCCCACCAGCACGCGGGGGTATAGGAACCAAAGGAGGCTGTACGGCGATGGCTTTGGGTTGCCGGGGAGGAAGAGACGGCGTCAAAGCAGCTGCGAGGAGTCGAGACAATCGAGTTGACAGTGAGGGAGGCAGGAGTCGATTCCCAATCAAGAAGCAGACGCAAGCATCCGAGGGGCAGAACCAGCCGGGTCTGAAGAGTGACTTACCTTTTACTTACCTGAGTTGTCTGAGGAGCTGAAGCAGTTGACTTGGGAGTCTTTTCATCCCTGGTGGGGAGCCAAGGCGGTCAGTGGCGGCTGTACACAAACAAACCTCGCGCGTCCCAAGGCGGTGAGCGCGTGCCCAGCTGACCTTTTTGTCGTGGGTTCCAACCCGAGGCACCGCAAACTTTCCTCTGCCTTTCCGATCGATCCAATATTGTCGATCGCTTAATCCTTTCATTCCAATTCCAATCGGGCCACTGGCAGAGAGTCTGGACGGGCACGTAGCAATGCAATAGTTCGGATTTTGCCTACGTGGACTAACCCCCGGCTGCAGTCTATTGATTGATCTATGAGTTGTCATAAGCTGCATACCCGATCTTGATGCCGCATATCAAAGACCTCAACGCTCATGAGCGCCCGCCCGAGGTCCTCAAGCAGCGCTACAAGAAATACCAAAAGTCTACCCTCTCGGAAATAGATTCCGATGCTGGCATCATCGATCTTCAAGCCTTGGACCCTCGGAATCTCCCGGAGGAGATCTCTTTAACGAAATGGATCTCTAGTGCAGATCTCCGGCCAGTCTACGACCAATTCGTCGGCCCAAGCAAGGATATGCAGGGCGCTTTGCCTGCTAAGGATATCCCCATTTTCAGCCATCGCTCTGTCTCTGGTCAGCATTATCTGCATGCCTGCTCTTGCAGCACCCGCTTGTAGAAAAATTGTTGACGTGCTGTAGGTTTGCAGGTGGTCCCATCGCTGCTTCCACCAGCAGTTCAGGTCGAGTTATTGTCTCGATTGTTCCACCGGGACTTGTCCAATCCGCGGCATCGAACCAATCTTCACCTGCACTATGATATCACCTATCCTCGTGCGACGAGCAGTGGTGAAGCCCAGCCGGTTGAATCGGGCTCAACCGAATCCTCCCTAGTACGCGATTATCCTCCATCCTTCTTTGGAGATGATCCAGCCCGTGTCATAGAGCCTATAGACCCCAATGTGCACAGACCACTTACTGTCCAAAGCATACTGAACAGAAAGCTACGTTGGGTTACTCTGGGTGGTCAGTATGACTGGACCGCTAAGGTATATCCTGCAGAGCGCCCTCCTGAGTTTCCTAACGATGTTGCGAAGCTCTTGAGCGCCATGTTTCCAGCGACTGAGGCTCAGGCAGCCATCTTGAACGTCTACTCCCCTGGTGACCATCTCAGCCCTCACCGCGATGTCAGTGAAGAATGTGATGTGGGCTTGATCAGTGTCAGCTTTGGTTGTGATGGTTTGTTCTTGATCAGCCATGACGACGGGGAGCACTGCGAAATCATTCGGCTTCGCTCTGGGGATGCTGTTTACATGGATGGCACCTCCCGTTTTGCTTGGCATGCAGTGCCGAAAATCGTGCCTAATACTTGTCCTGAGTGGCTTGCTAATTGGCCATCATGTTCACATGGCAGTGCAGCTTCTCAATACGAGACCTGGAAAGGATGGATGGCGGGCAAAAGAGTCAATCTAAACGTTCGACAAATGGAAATCGTGAAGCCCCACGACTGATTTCCAAGGCGATCAGATACAATAAGAAACCAGTGATTGGTTCCGTACTTTGAGGGTCATAACTCGAAATAATCCCAATGAGAAGGCCCGTGAAGTCGGCCAAGCAACGCAGTGCTTCAATCCGTTGGAACCGATGGCACTGTTTGATACCGCGGACTACTGGGTTACGGGCAGTCCTGCCCTTGAACCCAAGCTGACAAGACTAGTCATGCTAATGGCTCTATGGAGTGGTCTGCCTATGGTATAGATACTAAACGATGGCCTTAGGCCTGCTCGTTAGCCCATCCATGTCATACGAGATGGAGGTCTGTCTTGCTGTGAGCTGTAAGCGGGATGATATAGCTGGCATTCGTAGGATTTTGGACCGGCGAGCTGGCTGCCAGCTTGGTTATATGTTGCTTGACGGAGTATATACTAGAAAGGGCGTATATAGTTGTAAATAATACATCATCCCAATGGTGGGTGCTGCATAAAGTCTCAAACCGCGGAAACGATTCCGACGTGCAACAAAGCGGGGTTGCAGCTGACCGGCGGGCCATCTGGGGGCTTTCCTCCAGATACTCCTCGGCTTCCCCCTCTTTCCTCCTCCCAGCTAACACCATGCTATCTCCCAATCTTATCAGGATTCCGTGTTACTGTCCTATCTGACCTTCGCTGAAACACGGCCGAGCACAAGCCATCTCTGAACGCCAGACAAAGTGTTCGGAGGAATGGATGATAAGCAGATAATCTGCGCGATTGGCCCCGCTTGCTGCAATCCCCGCCTGAAGATGAGATAGGATAGGTAAGACAGCGGGATGATCATCCCACCAGACGGACAGATAAGACCGAGCCTACCACCATTCCCTCAGCTCGAACGTCCATCCCCAACCCTCTTTAAACCACCACCGCAGTCCAAGATGACAATCCCGACCTGGAAACAAGTCGCCGAAACCAAGCGCCAATCCACCCTCGACGCCATCCCCGAGAAATGGCGAATCAAGGGCCCCATCCCCTCCGCCACGGAGCAGCGCGACGTGACAGGTGCCTACATTCAGCAATTCCTGACGGAGCGCGAGGCTGAAATCACCGAGACGGACGCCGTGGGGATTGCTGAACGCACTACAACGGGCCAGTGGACAGCCGTCGAGGTGACAGAGGCGTTCTGCCATCGTGCTGCGCTGGCGCATCAGCTCGTACGATCCTCCCCAAAGACTATGTAATTTGAATGATTGTATCGAAATCTAACAATGGAAGCAGGTTAATTGTCTCCACGAAATCTTCTTCGACAAGGCCCTCGAAACCGCCCGCGCTCTAGACGCCTACTTTGCTCAAACCGGAAAACCACTTGGTCCTCTACACGGCCTGCCCGTCAGTCTGAAAGATCAGTTTCACGTCCTAGGTGTAGAGACCACCATGGGCTACGTCGGCTGGATCAACACCTTCCAAGGCATCTCCAACGACCCCCGTTATCTCAATCACGAAAGCGAGCTAGTCAAAGAACTTCGCGCCGCCGGTGCCGTTCTCTACTGCAAGACCAGTGTGCCCATGACCCTCATGTCTGGTGAAACTATGAACAACATCATCAACTACACCCAGAATCCGAAGAACCGATTCCTGACATCGGGAGGCAGTTCCGGGGGTGAAGGGGCGCTGATCGCGCTGCGGGGATCGCCGGGCGGGTTTGGCACGGATATCGGGGCAGTATCCGTGTTCCGGCCGCATTCAATGGCCTGTATGGCATCCGACCGTCGGTGGGGCGGATGCCCTACGAGGGAGCAGCGAACTCCGGGGATGGGCAGAATGTGGTTTTGTCTGTAATTGGACCTTTGGCCACTACAGCGAAGGGGTTGACGTTGCTCTTTAAATCGGTACTGGGGCAGAGTCCATGGTTGGGGGATCCAGGGGTGTTGGAAATCCCGTGGCGGGAAGAGGTGGAAAAGGAGACGACGGGTTGGTCGAGGGGCGCCGGAGGGGTTGGCCTTTGGAATTATGTATGATGATGGGGAGATAGAGCCACATCCGCCGATCAAGAGGGCATTGAAGATTGTCGAGGATACGGTAAGGGGGTTGGGACATCGGGTGAGTTGCGTCGCGATATATCCCCGGTGTTCAATGTGGATAGTGCTAACGTCAATCCCCAGCTCATCAAATGGGAACCCCCATCTCACCACACAGCCGCGAACATAGCCGTACGTTATACCTCTCCCAAGCACTAACATACCAAATAAAGCTAACACCACCCCAGATGCGAGCATACGACCTCGACGGCGGCGCCGACGTGCGTCACAACTTCGCTCTCTCCGGCGAAACCCCCCTCCCCCAAGTAGTCATCGACACCACCGGGTCCCCGCAAAAGGTCGCCCAGGAAATCGCCGCCCTGAATGTCGAGAAGCGCGAGTACCAGAAACGCTACCTGGACTACTGGAACAGCACCACCCAACTCACCGGCACCGGACGGCCCGTCGACGCAGTGATTTATGCCTGTGCGCCCCATGCGTCGTGCATCCCGACCAAGTACGCGACGGTGGCGTATACTTCTTTCATCAATGTGTTGGATTATACGGCTGTCGTGGTGCCGGTGACTAATGCGGATAAACAGAAGGATGTTGTGCAGGAGAGAAAGTATTTGAGTGAGTTGGATAGGAAGACGGATGGGGAGTGTGAGTTATTCATTTTCTTATCTTCTGCAATATTTTCGGGATATACTAACCAGATATAGATGATGCGGACGTGTATGATGGTGCACCGGCTGGGATTCAGCTCTTTGGACGTCGTCTCCAGGAAGAGAAGATTTTGGTGTTGGCCGAGTATCTGGGCGAGAAGATCAAGAAAGCGACTGCTTGAGTGGAACCCGTCACCCATTACTCTAATGGCATTATAGACATTAAGGGACATGGAACATTGATTGTGAGAATAAAAGAATATCTATAACAAAGTACAAGAATATATATAGTCAATAGTCAATAGTCAATAGTCATGTCCTGAAGCCTCACTGCAGTTCATTCATCACCTACCACCCCTCCAACGGAGTGATTCTCGCCCGAACCCCATCCTTAGGACTCACTGTCGCGGCTTCACGGAGGAGAAGCTTCGCATTAGGATCTTCAAGTTCGAATTGAAATTTTCCCACAAAGGCAGCGAGCAGACACGCGAGTTCTGCTTTCGCAAAGCCCTGTCCGATACAACTCCGCGGGCCGTGGAGGAACGTCAAGAAGGAGTAGTTACTAGTTGCGCCGCCGGTGTTCGCTCTTCCGGGGCCGAGCCATCGGTCTGGATTGAATTGGTCTGCGTCCGGGCCCCAGAGGGTTTTGTCGTGGTTGATCATTGCGGGGACAATATGGATGGACATGCCCTTTTGGATTGGGTGGCCGGCGAGAGAAGTATCTCTGTTGGCGATGCGGATGGTGATTGGGACGGAGGGGTAGAAGCGGAAGACCTCGTTGCAGACGGCGTTGAGGTAGGGGAGGGAGTCGATAGTGGTGGCGGAGATGGGGTCAGGGTTGTCGATGGAGATGGAGGGGAGATTGGCACGGATTTCTTCGCGGAGGCGGGTTTGGACGTCGGGGTGTTTGCTGAGGGCGTAGATGCACCATTGTAGGGCGGAGGAGGTGGTTTCGTGGCCGGCGGCTAGGAAAGTCATCATTTGGTCGAGGAGTTCTTCGTCGGTGAAACCGTCGCTTGAGAGGGCGACGGAGATGATGTCAACTGCGTCGGTGGTTTTGTGCGTTTTCTCGCCATTGATGGATCCACGGGCGTCGCGGATCATTTGAAGTGCGACGTTGCGGATGTATGCGGAACTGGAGGCGATGTAGCGGTTGCGTTTGAAGGGGAGTTTGTGGACGAGGTGGGCGGAGTTGAAAATCAGTCCGATAAGGAAGATGCCTTTCTCGAGGGGCGTAGGGGGCACGCTGTTGATTTTGTGGTAGTGTTTTGCGAGCTCGTTGTTGGGATCACGGAGAGAATCGAAGTCTCGATTCATCCCGGCCAGGCCGATGATGTCGAGGGTCGCTCTGCCGGACCAGGTTGCTACGCGGATGACGTTGTCTGATGGGTTTCCCCGGCGGCGCAGGTCTTCTTCTATGAGTTTCACCATCTCAATGCCTTTCGACCAAAAGATTGGATAGAGATTCTTGATATGGCGATAGGAGAAGGCGGGCATGAGAAGCTTCCGTTGGCGCTGGATGACGTGTGAGTAACGCTGCGTGTGAATAGAGTGGGACTGGTGTTGTGCAACCTACCTTGTGCTCTGCGCCTTCTACCAAGAGCACACCATGTTCCCCGGTGATACGGCCAAGCGAGCGCCGCACTAACGGTGGCTTCTCGAACTCGTATGCTTTTTGAACGAGGAGTTCGCTCAAGGCTTTGGGGCTTGTCACTACCATGCGCTCGATATTGCCGGCCATGTAGAATCGGATCAGGCCGTCGTTCGGCACCTCGTTGTTCCACTGGCGCATTCGCTCGAACTGGTCCTCAGGCACAAAGGTGGGATGGTTGCCAGTGAGCCATGATCGGCTCTACATAGATAGCATTATTAGCGACACTTGGTCATGAGTAGTCAAGCCTAGGATGGCAAAAACTTAGCTTACCGAAGGGGTAGGGATTTGCTTGAGAGGGGTGAAGTAGACAGGATACAAAGCCACACGATAGAATAGTCTTAGGAGGATGGTGATGGCAGATAGTATAGCAAAGACCGTAAATGTCGACCGGAAGTAAGTGTATCCAGCGATGGCCAGGTGAATAAGATTCCAGGGGATTACCGCCATGGTGGGAGCGATCGGATGTTCGTTATCGGATGCACAGGCACAGGCACAGGAACAAGTTCGGCCAGATGCCTACCCGATCAACGGGATTCAAGCTCAAGTTCCGGGGGAGTGCAATTAGATCGGAAAAGAGAAAAGCTAGGTAGAAGGATAAAAAAAAAGAAAGTACGGCATCAGGTCCGGCTTTATATAGAAAAGACCACAATAAGCCAACGTCACGAGCCGGAGATTTTGAATCTGGCCGTTGCGGTAAGCACCGCGAGGGTCCAGCTGGCTGGCTCCCCTCGCGGCCTATGAGATGGCTGGGAGGCGTGGATGCTTCGATGGATCCCATCACAGCCACTGGGAGCGGGGGGGGTTGGTTTGTGGGAATGGGATAAAGCGGCACAACTAGGGATTAGTTAGCTTTGTCGAAGCCTAGAAGGATGCAGCCGTGAGCAGTTCAAATGCAGAGGGGAGAAACGTCATGAAGTAAAAAAGGGAGAACCAAGCCGGTTGGGGGGGAGGCTGCTGATTGGCGGCAGGGCACGTGGGGTCGGTAAGGGAGACGCTCCCTCTCGGGGAAAAAAGTCACTTGCAGCCACTAGTAGGCAGTAGTAGTACTGCTAAGTCTAGGTATGGGATGGTAATTGGTAGTGCGTAAGAAATACTCAGAATGGCCAACGGCTGGGCCCGCAAGGTTCACCCGTTTGGGTAATCCATTCGCTGTTTCAGCCTTGCCGAGATGACCACTTAGAGTACCGTGTAAGCTTTGTAAAATGTAAACACCATCTCCATTCTCCACTTAGATATTATTATCCTCTCCATCTATCGACTATCTATCTACCTACAACCTCTCCGGCAATTTCGAAAATACGTACCCAAAAATCTCCCGGCTTTTGTACAGATTCTCCACCCGCAACCGTTCATTGTAAAGATGCGCATTGTCGCTGGCCTGCCCACACGGTAGGTTCGCCGCCGGCGCCGAAAACTCTTTCTCCAGGAACCGGATGGTCGGGATCGATCCGCCCTCGCGAATGTAGATCGGCCGCACACTGGACCCGGCGCGTTCGACCACCGTCGCACCGGAAGCTTTCTCCCCAGCCACGTTGGGAGCTGATGTCCCCGCCGGTTCCTCAGCGACAGGTGCCCCCGAATTGCTCGCCAGGGTAGATGACGTCGGAACCGCCGTGCTCAGAGACGACCGTTGACGCGCTGCTTTCTCCGCCGAGGAGGTCGTCGTTGACATGATGATCCGGTCAATGTGCGATGCCAAGCTATCGGCCGAATCTTTGCGCTGAAGACCGGACCGCTCCTTCGACCGCTTGGCGCCGGTCGTCAGGTCAGAAATCTCGCGTTGAATAGGCGGAAATGCGTATTTTTGAGGCTTGTTGCTGGGCGACCACGCAGCCGTGATCGCCTCAGCCAGGGTCTCGAATATCTCATTGTCCGGGTCTCCCAACCAAGGATCCGATTTGCCCGTGATCTCAATGGTCAGGTCATTCTGCGAGTCCAGTCGGTCAAACTGCTCCTGTGCGTAGAGAGTTAGGTTGGTGGCCACTTCGTCCGCTTCCTGGTTTGGTACAAGTCGGATGGACAGGCTGGCCTTGGCTTTGCGAGATATAGTCGTGGTCGCGCCCTTGCTGCTGCCTGGCACCTCGACAGCATGAATGGTGAGAGACGGCTCACGCCAGCGATGCATGAGGGACTTGATGAGTGCTTCACTATCAGCAATTTCGGGGTGGTGCGGCAGGAGAATCTCCGCAATCGCGGTGTAGCGTTGCCTTTCCGTCTCGGTGAGTGGGAGAACCGGTTTTTGGAAACCCGGGAGGTTGATGCGGCCCTTGGACCCAACCAAAGTGCCCAGGAGCATGGTCAGGTCTTTCAATGGCTCGTCGAGCAAGGAACTTCCATCAATACCACTGTGCAGATCAGGGTGATCACTGGTTACGACGAGGTTGGCATGAACAACTCCACGCAGGCCGTAGGTCAGGCACGGGTTGTGGTCATCGAGCCAGTAACTGTTGGCCAGCAAGATCCAGTCCACCGGACCAATTTCCGGCTTGTGCTTGCGAACTGTTTCGTGGAAATTCTGGGACCCAGATTCTTCTTCGCCTTCGATCAGGAAGACGACGTTGCAGGGGAGCGCCTTTTGCCGCGCAAGGTCGGCAGCAGCATAAAGGGCCGCCAGGATAGGTCCTTTGTTATCCGACACGCCGCGACCGTACAAGAAACCGTCAATGGAGGTCAGTTGATAGGGATCCGTGTTCCACTTGGCCCGGTGAGCATCCGCTCCGACGACATCGTAATGCCCGTAAAACAGGATTGTTTTGTCGACCTTGTTCGGGGCCGTGGCGGTGAACCGTGCATGCACAATTGGATTCGTATCCTCTCCGGTAGTCAATAGATTGGTTTTGGCGCCGAGGTAGATGCAGTGTCGACGAAGGAATGCAGCACCCTGGTTGCACTCGCCGGCAAATTTCGGGCTTGATGAGATCGTTTTGAATGCCACAAATTTGGACAGGCAGTTGACCATTTCATCTGAGCCGGTTAATACGGACAATGCCTTCTAAAGCTTTCGAGGTCATACCATTGTTAATTGGAGGCTGCTCGGTCTGCGCGCGAGACACATCCGTCAAATCCCAAATACCGACAGTATTGTCGTTTCCACCGCTGGCGTAGATGTAACGATCCTTGAAGCGACCGGCCGACGATGCCAGCATGGTGCCTCCATGGGCCACCCAGCTACCAATTTCCTCAAACCGTGAGTTGAACTTCTAGAAGCGGGTTAGTATGATACTCCCAGTCCAGGGTGAAGGCCACTTGCTTTGATGGCACCGTAGGAGTCTCCGCACACCGCGACGCCGTTGATGATATCGACTGCCCACAGGTCACCCGTATGCATGGAGATTCGCTTCACCAGCTGATGAGAGTCCAAATTCCAGATATTCAAGGAGCCCCCTGCAAGACCACAGTAGAGGAATGAGCCCTCTACAGCGATTGAAAGGACGGGGTCTCCATTTTGAAGCTTCGCGATCGGCGAAGGCACTGCATTGTCCTTGTCTTCGTTCAAGCGCCACATTTTGACAACACCATCGCCCGCACCGGTCAGAAGCACCTCTTCAGCAGGTGCCGACTCAATCAGCCCCCTCACTAGAAGCATGGTGTAGATGTAGCCATGGTGCGAGAATAAGCGGTGGTGGTCCCGCTTGAATGTGAGAACTTGGCCACCCGGATGAACGCCATCGGTGCCCAGGTCCGATCTAGGAGCACGACTACCATCCGGGCCTCGAGAATCAAAGAATCGATGGGTCCGTCTAGACAACTGAGCGGCCGAATGCTGGGTCAAAGCCGCGTCCGGTTGTGAGATATCACACCACTGACTATGTCAGCATTGAACTATTATCCGTAGAAGATCTATGAGTACCTGAATGCTGGTGTTTTGACCACCACAGTAAATTGTCTTCAGGGTGGACGAATACGCCACCGCGAAGATGTCACCCACATCATGGTGGGAGTGGATAGAATAAAGCCGGTCAAAGGTCCTCGTCGACCAAACCTGTGGGGTGTCAACATGGCAGGGGCATCAATCAGAGGGAAGTAATTACATTGACGACGGAATCTCCTCCACTGGAGAAAAGAAGCTCTCCATCCTCAGAAAGGAATAGATCAAGGACGCTCTCTTGGTGAGCATGCACCGAGAGAACCAGATCGTACGTGTCCAAGGACCACGCCTATGATGAGTTAGTGGGCGATCGTAAGGATGAGAGGATGATGGGGGAAGCCACGTACGACAATGTCTCCTCCCTGAAGACCCGCGAAAACGCATTCCTGGTCCAAAACCAGGGCTAGGACTGACCTACTGGCCTGGACGCGGTGGCCGATGCCACACCCCACCGGTAGTGTCGCGTGAGCTGAGTCATGAGCGAGATGAGTCGTCACGGAGCGAGGGTCGGACTCCCAGACTTTGGTTTGGTCATCGGTGTCCGATGTGCTATCGGATTCTACGTGTACTGTGTGGTCCATTGCTCCCGCAGCGGAGCCGGAAAGTCTCAGCTATGCTTCTTTCAATTGAGTGGACAGATCAGTGGTCGGCTTCACGTGATGTGATGCAGGATGCGAGGCTTGCGCTGATGGGGCTGGTGGATAAGGAAAGTAGATATGGAGAAGAAGGAGAGGCGTGTCAGAGAAAGCAGGCTAGCATCAATCAGGATGGGAGCAGAAGGAGTGATGCTGAGGGGATGCAACAGCGTGTTGATTGATGTGGAACAGCTTAATTGCTTCACCTCCAGGGAATGTCGTGATCGACCCGGTGAAGGTTGTCAAGGTGGACGAATCACCGGCGAGGAGAATGGTGGCCCCAGCGAGCGAAACTTGGCTGTGGCGGTGCGCCGGAGGATACCGAACGGAACGGAACATCCAATACTCACTTGGCTTCTCGTCGGGACCTTTCCAGCAACACGGCTGCTTGTCCCTGCAGTCCATGAGCCTTCCATCTCCTTTCGATTTGACCTTCGTCTCCTTCGACCTCCACTAGCGACGGAGTGGAGCAAATCACTTACCTCGGTTCCCAAAACAGACGTGCTATCAGCGTGTCAGTCACGCACAGCGACATGGTTCATCAGTATCTAATTAACCAGGCAACGTTGCTGCCAGCCCCGATGGAGGAAGCGGTCTTTATAGAAGGAGATTTGAATTCAGGGGTAAAAGATGGCATCTGATGGCGACATATGGAGGATATAACGTGGGAGTCTAGGAATAGATAACGCATCTTGACGCGCTTCGATCGAGCGGCGATCTGACCATTGGGGACGGGTTGCAAAGGGTGATAAAAGGGCCAGCTGTCGGCATCCGACGATGGCCGGCATTGGTTGGGTCGACATATTCCCAAGCATGTAGGGGTTACGGAGTATCTTGGCTACATGTTGGATTGGGTGGATGGAACGGAAAGGGAGGCGAGCTGGAGAAAAAGAAAGCAAGTCGATCACAATTATCAGCTCGTGGAGGACATGGTTTCTTCCGGTCGGCGTCAGCTATCTATGCCTATGGGTGCCTGCATAGTCCGGAGTATTATTATCATGGGAGTAAGTTGTATGAAGCTGGAAGGGAGAATGTATGGTATGGGAACCAAATCCATACCGGAAGACCCGCGGTCCTCCCGTGGGGCGACACCAGCCACAGTGGCGGTGACACGTGCGACCAATCACGATTGGCGGCATCACCGCCATTCCTGCCAATTCCTGCGGTCCTCAGGCACCCACCGTGAGATTTGGGCCACTGTCATGAACCCCTCCAGCATCAACCAAACTTAGTGGCCCTCCATCGGGGTCCGTTGGAGTTGGGACGGCCCTCTACGGCCGATGGTGGGAGGTGCCTGGCGTGCGGTGGTACCACCCCAGTTTCTCAAATCATGTTCCTCATTGCCTCAGTACTTAAGGCGAAAGGGGACGACATCAGGCCGCCGACTCGTCTGGGACCAAGTCTGCATCGTCGTCAGGTACTAGACCAAGAATCCCCTCCGAAGACCTCCCACGTCAGTACCCAAGCGCCTTCCCCGCCAATAGAGCATTTCCTCCGTGGGAGCGCGCCGTGACAGCAACGCAGTCTCCACGGATCCGTGCAGCCATTCAGATCTTGGAAAGCGATCCCTTTGGCGCATTTGTTGCCTTGTTCCCAGCTTCATCGACACCCAACCGGTTTGGATTGGCAAGGCGGATACTTCTCCTGTTCGTTGCTTTATGCCTATTTTAGGCGCCGCAGCCGGGCCTGCGTCCTTTTAGTAGAGGTCCCAGCCCCCTCATATTCGTCCCCTGTCTCTGCTCCGCGCTCTACTTTGCTCCCCTTGCCTTCCTTGCCTTGTGAGCCGTGCAAATCTCTTCCGTGGCGTGGTCACCCGCCTGTATGCTAGTTGGTTGCATCTTACCGGGCCTTTCCGCCGCTTATCGTTCATCGCCTTAAATCAATCTCTCCGACCACCACCACAGCTGAACTGCGAACTTTGACAGCAGGCATCAGCTTTTCAAATTCGCCATCGACCCCGTTATATCCCAGACTCCCGGAACTGCGATTTCCGTCAGTTCTCTCGACGCCAAGGCCTAGACCACAATACCGTCACTCCAAACTTTGGGATCGGGCCAAATCTCCACCGGGCCCTACTAGTGTCGATATTATTCCATTTTTATATCCGCTTGCCAGGTTGCGCTACACCGCTCGTCTTACTCTCGGTTCTTTGTGGAACTCCGGCTCGTCACTATCGATGCTTCTTCCTATTTGAATGTTCGCTGGGCGACATCTCAATCGGAACAGAATCAATTAACATAAAACCGGTCGAATTCAAGTCAATCGAGATTCCCAGCTATCATGGCTCCCCTGGGTGAATCGATTGCCGTGATTGATAAATCTGGCAAGGTCGTGAGCACGGTACGTCATAGATATAATATCCTTCTGGCCCCATGGCATACGGTACTAATTCTCAGTGGGTGACAGAGCAAACACCTCTTTGGCGTGTTCAGTCAAGCCAAGAACGCTTATCGCGAACGCAAGGCCCAAGTTCAGTCCGAACGAAACGCTAAGATTGCCGAGAGAGAAGCGCTTAGGGCCCTCGAGAACTACCATATTGACGATGCGCCCTCAGTCGCATCCTCTCGGAGGAGTCGTTCTCGATACCACTCGGGCCGCAGCCACCACCCTCGCGAGGGCTCAGTCTACGAGGAAGACGTACAATGGCAGGACCCGTATGCAGATCCATACGACGGTCGGCCATATGAGATGGTCCGCCGCCACACTCACGATGTCGCCATGCGCGGGCCAGAGCGACCAACAACCAGCCGCTCGAAATCCGATGCTCATGTCGACATGGATCTAGCGTACGGTGACTTCCACCCGTCGGCCCTCGAGAGGATGCCACCTCCCGACCAGGGCCAACTTCAACGAATCGAGGATCCTGAATTAAATGGCCTCGTAAACAAGGCTCAGTGGCTCCTGGAAGAGGCTGACTGTATGCAACATTCTGCGACCGCTACTATCGCCCATCTTCAGAAGAACCCAGACGCCATGGCTGCTGTGGCGCTCACCTTGGCCGAGATCAGCAATCTCGCGACAAAGATGGCGCCATCCGCGCTATCGGCCCTCAAGACCGCAGCCCCCAGCATCTTCGCTTTGCTTGCGAGTCCACAGTTCTTGATCGCGGCTGGTGTTGGCATTGGAGTCACGATTGTCATGTTTGGTGGCTATAAGATTGTCAAGCAGATCCAATCTGCCACTTCCAATACCCCTGCCGCCAACCCTATGAGGGCACCGGCTGCCCCCGAAGAGGAGCCCGGTATGGATGATATGATGGAGTTCAACACCGAATGTCTGAGCACTGTCGAGATGTGGCGGCGTGGCGTAGCAGACGTCGAGGCCTACAGCGTTGGTACTTCCGTTGACGGGGAATTCATCACCCCTACCGCAGCAGCTATGTCAGGTATTGACGTGACTACTGCACGAATGTCTCGAGACCCGCGATTTAAGTTCGACGATGACCGCTCGACGACATCTTCCCGCAGATCTCGTCGGTCGCGCACGCATCACGAAAGCCCCCGGTCGGAATACCGACCGGAGTCGCACGCCGGTTCGAAGGCACCTTCGCGGATGTTTTCCAAAGCACCGTCCAAGGCACCGTCGAGGGCGCCCTCACATGCACCTTCCAGAGCGGAATCCCGTTACTCCGACATGGAACCGAAGCCAAAGGAGAAAAAGAAACGATCCAGCCGTCTTCGTCTGATGTTCACTGCGTGATATCAGCACTCCACTCTTACCTCTTTTTATTTAACGACAGATTGACGGATGATGACATGGAAATGTATATAATACTGTATCCTCCGATTTCGGATTATATTACGACGGGTTGGATATTTGTTTGGCGCAATTAGAACCGGCGAACACAACGACTGGTGGTGGTTTATGTTATGCTTATTTATGATCATTTGACATGATATTGTGGCACATATGGCGTTTGATACCACTTATGGTTGTAGATTGACCTTCATGTTTACTTTGACTCTACTACATATGTTCATACTGTGGTCCCTCGTACCCACGAGGCTTCATGGCGAAAAGTTCAGGTCTGAAAAAAGCACATATGGATTCATGAACCTTTCTTCCATCCTTCTAGTCAGATCGCTCTACCTTACTGCAACTAGCTACTTAACGCTTCTTCCGCAAGAAAATGTGCCCCAACGAAAAACCCATCCCTATCCCAATGACAAATAGGATCTCCACCTTAGCTGCCTACTATTAGTGTACCTCCTTCTTCTGGAAGCGTTCAGAAAAAGCAACCTGTCAATAGTCGGTTTCCCTCTTAATTCCTCCTGTCTGTACGGAGGACTCCTGCAGGTCATCATCACACGTATGTATGTATGTACATACATCACTAATCTGCATCCCCATGTCACACTACGTAAGTCATCGAGTACACATTATCACAGTCACCTTCACTTTTGGGGCGTCTTTGTATCGTCATCTTGCATGAGTCTTTGTGTAGCTCCTTACACAAGATGTGTGGGACGTGTACAGTGTGTTTGATTTGGTTTGGTTATGGTGTAGTTTTGGTATTGGGTGGATGTAATGTGTAACCTTGGGGGTGTTTGTTACGGCAGATGGAGAGGAGCGGGTGGTGGTGGTGAAGGTAGTGTCGTGGTTGTATTTGCTCGGGATTAGATAGAAGTGAAGGTTAGTGTGGAGTGGAATGTGGAGCGTGGGATGCAGGTTGTGTGGGGTTGAGGAGTCGGAGGACTGAATTTTGAAAACTGGAACTTGATTGAATTGATGAATGGGAATTGCTTTGATAATGGATATTGTGAGATGGAGCTGTGGCTGTGAGAGATGGGATTACTCAAGAATGGTCTTGATAGTGCTTTCCGTGGGTGTGGTTTGCCTGACTGCCTTGTTGTACGTTTGTGCGTGGATCTCCTGCTCTAAATCTGGGGGCATAGTAACTCCGAGGCCGATATGTATAGCCGTTTCAGCTACGTTCTGAGATGTCCTGAAACCATGACGTAATTTCGACATGGGGATAGGTAGTTTGGTTGAGCTCTGCCTACAGCGTTGGTAGAAAATGACTGGGTATTGCAATCCCCATTATCTCATCATGTTGTTCGGGATTCATCGATGATATCCCTTCCGCTATACCTGCCCATTGCAACCTTGTGCAAGTATAGCGCAGCTCGCCTACTTGAACAGAGGAAGGCGAGGTTGCTGGTATCCATGTAGCAAGCGAGGGCCTACGCCCATGCAAGGATCATGACTTGTTCCCGAATAAAGCAAACCCGCTGGTTCTTACCTAGCCTCGGAGTTTGACTGTGCGCCAGGGTAACTGGGAGAGACGCGCTTATCAACAAACGCATCTTAGGGTGGGCCGGGACTATAGACTTTGCTCGCAACGGTCACGCACGTTCAGCGTAGTTGGTCTGCTGCAACTTTCCGCCAATCGAAGTCCCAGCCCATTGGGACGGGAGTTGGCCAAGTCTATCACGGACCTAATAAGGACCTTCCGATTGCAGCTACTGCAAGGCTGTAGTTGCGACGATAGGAGGTCCGCAGCTAACCTAATGACATAGGAATCGTGGCATCATTGATATTTGTCAAACCAATTCGGCGCTGTCAATCGTCCGATATCGGGCGAGAAGAGATTTTCCTCAGGGACATCCGCTGCAGACGCAAATCGACCTTGAGGTTGCACAATCCTCGTATATGTAGGAGTAGAAGTCGTCACAATCCTGAAGGAGTAAGATTCGAGAACGATAGTGCGAGACTAGAGGTGTTGGTCATGCGGCCGGCTTATGGTGTGCAGCTTATCAACCGGGCCCCGGTGGCACTGCTGAAACCGGAGCTGCACTGCCAGAATCCTTTGTAGGTCCGAGAGACACGTCCCTTGTCATATCTTCTGAGACCCTAGGACTCAACTATTCAGGACCATAGATCAGAATTCTGACATGGAGAGTAGAATTTCGGCAATGGGGAGGAGAGTAGAATGCCGGGCAGAGGGGAACTGGCAAGAGCCGTGGCCGATGGGCGGGGAAGGCAGGCGTGACCGGGGCCGGGGAGCCCGGCAGATGGCGGGCGGCAGAACAGCCGGCGGAGCCCGTTAGTCATCTGCACTGGTCGGCAATGCAGGGCGGTGATTGGCTCCCGGAAACCGTTCGGCCCTTCGCCCGTTTTCTGCCTCTTCTGCTGCCTCCTGCAGCGGCTGTCTATCATCATATCATGCATCTGTAGCTGGAGGGGGTGGGGGCTTCTCCTCCTCCAGCTCAACCTGACCCTCGCTGGAGGCTGAACAGCCAGCCGACCTACCTCTCCCAGCTAGCCATCCAAAACCGACACCCAACAATGGTCCAATTGATTTGCAACAGGCCTATACTCACCGGGGGTGGCCGGCCGGCCTTCTCCTCGGTGGAGAAGCCATCTGAGGGGCTCACGCTTGCCGTATTCCCGGCTGTAGGGAAACCCAAGAATGTGTCTGGTTCAGGAAACCTTTATCAGGGCCTGCTTCCCCATCTTGATCTTGATTGTCTCTGGTTGTAGATTCAAGGAAATCCTCCCTGTACCTGAGTGGCGAAGCCTCCACCCACGGTTTGTGTACGGCCTAGATTCGCGTACTCCGTTAGCTTAGGACCTCCGAATTTTTATTTTTATCCTTATCTTTCTTTTTTCTCTCGTTTAATTCCTTCCGCTTCGACCTATCCTTGGCTTGAAATATATTCACTCGGATCAATATCTTGAATATTTCCATTAACATGGAGCAGGCGAAGACACCCCTGCAGGTGATTGTGGTTGGGTAGGTCAACCCTGTCCCTTGGACATTCTGCATGGTTGCTGACGTGATTCCAGTGCGGGTATGAAATCCTACTCATGAGCTTCCAAGCAGTAATGCATGTCTGACTCAAGCAGGCATTGGCGGCATGGCCGCGGCCCTGACCCTGGGTTTGCGAGGACATCATGTCACGATCCTAGAATCGGCACCCAAGGTGCGCATGCCAGCCACTCCGCTCATTGATTATTTGCTGACTCTCATAGCTCATGGAAGTTGGTGCTGGGATTCAGGTCTCTCCTAATATGCTGACGCTCTTCGATCGTAAGCCTCTGCTCCGTTCCCCTGATGATCGAGCCCATCTAATGAGTCAGGGTGGGGCGTCTCGCCGTTGATCCACGCCAAAGATGTTGCCCTAGAGCACATCCACGTGCGACGATGGGAAGATGGTAGCATTCTTGCTACCTTGCCGGTTAATAAGACCTATGGCCAACAGACGGTCATTCATCGTGCAGACCTCCACAACGCTCTGATTGAGCAGGCACTGGCGCTATCAAATGTGGAACTGCGTGTCAACTCACCTGTCGCCGAGGTCCAGTTTGACCCTGCAGCAGTGATCCTGGCCAACGGCACTGTCGTCGAAGGAGACATTGTGATTGCTGCCGACGGGATCAAGTCTCTGTTGCGTGGCCAACTGCTCGACGAATCCTCCATTAAGGCCATTCCCACGGGCGATGCAGCCTACCGAATTATGCTACCCCGCAGCGCTCTCGAAAACGACCCCGAATTGAAAACATTGGTTGATGAACCACAAGCTACTCGGTGGCTCGGACCAGGCCGTCATGTCATTGCGTATCCAGTACGCAACCATGAGATGTACAACGTCGTCCTGCTTCACCCAGACTGTCATGGCGTTGAGGAGTCATGGACGACCAAAGGCTCCAAGCAAGCCATGATAGACAACTACAAGGGATGGGACCGACGGGTTACGAAGTTGATCGACATGGTGGCAGACGACGACGTCCTGGAGTGGAAGTTGTGTCTGCACGCTCCGTTAAGAACCTGGGTCAAGGGTTCCGTGGCTCTCATCGGTGACGCATGCCACCCGATGCTGTAAGCCCCCTTTATAACAACTTTCAAGCCTTTGTTAATTATGTCTAGCCCTTATGTTGCCCAGGGTGCTGCTCAGGCAGTGGAGGATGCTGCTGCCCTGGGAGTCTTGCTCTCAACCATCACCTCACGAGCCGAAATTCCCACTGCGCTCGAAGCCTACCAGAAATCCCGGAAGCCCCGCGCAGAGACCGTCCAGCAATCCGGCTCGGAAAACCGCATCACGCTGCATCTGCCAGACGGCCCGGAGCAGCGCGCGCGCGACGAACAGTTCCGCGCCTCTTTGAAGAGCGGATCGAACCCCGACCGGTGGACCGATCTGGAGACGCAAAAGTTCCTCTGGGGATGGGATGCCGAAAAGGCGGCTCTAGATGTCTGGAATGGTGAGTCTACATGCCGTATATTCCGCCTTTATGTACTTACAACTCCAGAACTTCATGGCAACCATGTGTCCGAGCTGCGGCACCATCTGTGATCTACAACATATCACCACACGTTCCTTCTTCAACATGATTGGGATTAGATTAGCTTTGGCGTTTTCCTCAACGTTACGATTAGCGACTGTTACTTATGACACTGTACATACATCAATTGCATATAGAATGCACATACGAACTTTTCTATACATATATTTGCTGAACGCGATTGACGGTGTATTGGCAAACACGTTTGATTGGATGGTATATCGTAGGGTCTGTAGATGGGTGGCATGATACGACCGGCCTGGAAAAGTCCAAGACTTAAATGGAAATGGTAGTTCACTAATTCTTGTCAGTTGTGCTGTGTTGGGAAGACGCTTTGAGCTCACTGGGAAGATGGCCTCGAGTGAAGCTATTGAGAATAGTTTCGCTTAATGACCCACAGCCAATGGCTTAAATTGGTTTCAGAACGTTAGTCTCTTATACACTTAGTCATGGTAGTCAACTCGGCCAAGCCTACTATGAGAAATATATAGATCTTGATAAGTTGTATATAGTTTACACTCTGAAAATACTTAGCTTAGTGTGAAACCTAATTTCGTATTAATCCTGGTTATCTATGTTATCATTCAGTCAGCTCTTACTAATAATGCTGTGTTAGGTTTAATGATTTCTACCAGTTACCCAACATGCCAGAATTCAAGTCTTGGATGTGTTCTTATTCCGCAATCTATTAGCGATGACAGTTTTATAGCAAGTGCTTGGAATAATACAATCATAAGAGACGGAATGTAAAGTATTCTGTCAGCAAAAATGAGATGATCATGACATGCGGGGTTCTACCAGGAGAATATCAGACGGAGAGTCTGTATTACTGGTATGATACGGATATTTCTGTTACGCAACCTTTGACAGCTGGTATCTTAGGCGGGGGGAGATTCCAGCACGGGTATGGCACCTGTACCCTTCGGCTGGACCTACTCAATCTAATATCCATCAGTAGACTACTTCAAATGATTGATATGTGAGATGTTTCCCCTAAAAACCCCACGATTCACTTCCCATTGCACTTCTATACCCGCTACTGTCCAAAAGGGCAACCCTGCAATAAAGATGGAACCCAGTCCAAGTCTCACCATCCATCACCTCGATGCGTATTTCGAGCGCATCCAATTACCATCCCGATTCCGACGCAACCAGAACCCCCCGCTCAACCGGGAATTTCTAGCAGCCATCCAAGCCCATCACATCTCCCACATCCAATATGACAACATCGCACTGCACTATAGCCCAACGGCCGAGATATCCCTCCATATTCACGACATATTCCACAAACTCGTGGAAAGAAAACGGGGGGGATACTGCATGGAGAACAATCTTCTCTTGTACTATGTATTGAGCTTACTCGGATTCAACGTATATTTGACCGGCGCTCGTCTCCATCGGGACGCCAACAATCCCACCCCGGGTTGGTCGGGCTGGTAAGTCCTCTCTGATTCTCAGCTTAGTTCCCCCGTTTTCCCAACCAAATTGACCCTTGACAAATTGCAGGGAGCACGCCGTAAACATCATCACACTGACAGACCAAACACAACCCCCTTACATGATGGATGTCGGCTATGGCGGGGACGGACCAACCATCCCGTTGCCCCTAATTCACGAGGGACCGGCCATGGCCACCCCGAATATCGGCACGCAGGAAATCCGGCTCCAGAAGGGCGGACAGCAACCACGGAGCCCTGCCAACGATGCCTGGATCTACCAGTTCCGCAACGGGAGCGAACAACCCTGGCGGGTGGGCTATGCTTTCTTCGAACTTGAATTCTTCCCTCGGGATTTCGAGGTGATGAATTTCTATACGAGTCAGAATCCGACCTCGTTTCTTACGCAGCGGTTGCTGGTGATTCAATTTTTGCAGAATACTGATGGGAAGGTCTATGGGAAGATGATACTTGATCAGGACAAGTTGAAGGTGAATCGGAAAGGGAGGAATGAGTTGGTAACTGTCTGTGCTACCGAGATTGAACGGGTGGAGATCCTGCGGAATACGTTTGGGGTGGATCTTACTGATGAGGAGCAGGGGGCTATTTGGGGGAAGGCGTCGGCTCTATCTGCCTAAGGAGTAGTTGTAGAGGGGATGGTGCAGTTGGTTGGTTATAGGTTCCTCAATGTTGTTTGTGTTCTCCTGAGGTCTGAGAGTAGGGAGATTATAGAATGCGAGATTTGGAATTTTGGGTAGTTGAACAGAGACGGTTCAGCAACGTTGGAACATTATTTCTCTCCGCCTCTTCTCCAGAGAGTAACGCTATATTGTGATTTACTAGTATGAACGTTCACAAAAGAAATTGAGAGAACCCGGATCATTCTGATGGGATAATTGACTCCTGACGGGAGAGGTTACCTATTCAGTACAAGTAAAGATACTTTTATCACTTGTAGCCAATCACTTCCAGCCATCGCTCCCGCGCCCTCGATAGAGTATAGCGTAATTTGCCCCTGATGGGGCGGTGACTAAATAGTAAACGTTGTATACAACGAAACTAGTATTAGCAGTATCTACTTTTAAAAAGAACCAAGAGACCAGTTATCCCTTTCTTGGGCTTAACAGCTCAATCATACAACGCTAGAATGACCCAAAAAGTGAGTCGGCCACTTCAGAGAATGCTGAAGCCCTCTTCAGGGCCCAAAATTCGCATCCAAATTGACGGAGGTCCGGACTATGCTGGATATTACACGAACGGGGATCTTATCAAAGGCACGATTTCCTTCACCGTACAAGAGGAGACGCATGTTGAAAGTTTGGAGGTTCGCGCCGAAGGTATACATGAGCGTGGATACGCTCGTCGATGAAAGAAGCTAATGTGAGCTAGGCACTATCCGGACGGTAGTCTCCCAGAGCTCGTTTCCAAGTTCTTCGGGATTGCAGCAGAACTTTCGACTCGTTCATCACGGCCTTGACCTCGGTCAACGTATCTTCCCACGTGGCCAAGTCCACCATTATGACTTTGCTTTCAGAATTCCCGACCGACTTCCATCATGGACCTGCGCCAACGTCAATGACTCCCCTGAAACATCCCATTCAATGATTCCACCCACACTGGGCGACCTTGATCTGGAAGATCCAGATTCCACCTGGGGCGATGATCTGATGCCCAAAAATGGGATGATCTGTTACAGAGTCTGTGCCACCGCACGAGGATGTTCCACGGCAAGAAGTCCCAAACGACGTGCAATAAGCGTGGCTCAGCCCATTCGCGTTATACCGATAGTTGGGATGCAGAAATTCGATTTCGCCTGTCAATTGCCCATCGATATGGTCCAAAAGGAGGTGGCTATCAAGAACTCGCGACTGGGCGGCAGAGCCAGCGGCACACTACATGTCGAATGCCACCCGAAGCCTATTGAAGTGTATGGAGGCTCGAAGTCCGGCAATTCGACAGTCACTCTGCTCCTCAGTTTCTACCCGAGGTGCGAGACCGACTTGCCCCCTCGTCTTGGCTCGCTGAGAAGCAAGCTCGTCTCACACACAGCCCTTGGGGCCCGGGGCATGACTGCACCTGACTCCGAATCCAGCAAATCATGCTGTCCACCCAGTCAACGCTGCATTTACACCAACGATACTGTCTTTCCCACCCGGGACGTCTCGGGCATTCGTTGGAGTCAGAGTGATACGCGTATCAGAAGCTTCCATGATTCTACCTCGACGCTGCCGGTCGGAGCAGAGAAGCAATGGAGATCGGGTAATGACGTACCTAGTGACCAAGGCCTTTTTTACACGGCTGAAGTCACGCTTCCTATCATTCCGCAGGAGGGGAAAGTATATGTCCCCAGCTTCGATTCATGTCTCGCCTCGCGGTTCTATACGCTTGAGCTGGATCTCTCGTATCACTGCGCGAGGCAAGGTTTGAATCGCCCCAGGATCACTCTCAGCGTGCCTGTTTTAGTCCGGTGGCATGGAAAACCCCTGTCAATCTCGAGCGATATCTGTGATAATGCTGTGCCGTAATCTATAAGCAGAATAGCTATTTCATTAATTTAGTTGCACGGGGATATCTAGAATCACGAGGGATTGGATAATAATAAAGAAGAGGGATGAGCCTGTTTGCTTGAAGAGGCGGACTACGGGACACCAAACAGACCACGTACGCAGGTAGCGAACTGTGACTGATGACTAACTAGTGGGGTATGCACTCCATCTTAATACAAACAGTTTAATCCTATTGAATGATAGTAGTATATAACAGTCGAGGTGGCAGGGGAGGGGGGAAATGAATTGAAATGAAATGCCGAGGAGTGGTGTCCACCCGAAAAGTAGAAGAAAAATTAAATAAGGTTAAAGAGTGGACCATAATCAGTCCCAATCCGGTGAACGGGAACGATAGCCAATAATAGCCCACTGATACAATTACTGACAGCTTGGTCCGGTCCATAGAATCAATTGGGTTCGGATGACAGCAACTATATAAATGGATCTATCCACCACCACGACGTCTACTATCTCCTCTACATAATAAGAACCCACACAATGACACGCATCGAACCATCTCCATCACCCATCATAGCCATCCCACCCCCAACCCTCCTCCAAGAGATCCGCACCTCCAAACTCCGCCCATTCGGCCCTGTCCTCTCCGGCATCGACAAACAAACCCGGCCAGGCCAACTCTACGTCTCAACCATCGGGCTAGAAGACGACGAGCACGATCTAACTTTCCACGGGGGCATCGACAAAGCCATCCACCAGTACTGCCTGGACCACTATTCCTTCTGGGCAGATCGGTTTCCCTCACCCGAGGTTCGCGCGCGCTTCGTACCCGGCGGCTTTGGCGAGAACCTCGTCGCAGACGGCTGGGACGAACGAACCGTCTGCATCGGCGACTGGGTGCGAATCGGGACCCCTGGGTCCCTGCGCACCGGCGGAAGCAATGGTTGTCTGCTGGAGGTCAGTCTGCCGCGCCAGCCGTGCTTCAAGCTGAACCAGCGGTTCGGGATCAAGAATTTCGCTCCGCTCACTCACCAGGAGGCGAAGACGGGATGGTATTACCGTGTCGTCGAGGAGGGTTGGATCCAAGAAGGGATGGAGATTCGGGTCGTTCGTCGGAGGCACCCACGATGGTCGATCGAACGGCTGCATCACTATGTGCATCGTGATAAGACAGATTTGGCGGTGACGCAGCATCTCATGGCCATGGAGGTGCTGGGGGATGAGTGCAGGGATGTGTTCATCGACCGGTGGAGAACGCATCAGGAGAAGGAGGCCGCGGCGAAGCGTCCGCCCGAGACGTGGAGGAAGTTCCGGGTTGCGAGTCACAGCGCGGAGACTCCCCGTATTGTGCGTCTGGAGCTGAAAGCAGTGCGGCCATCAGCCCCGTCGTCGCCGCCGCGTGCCATCCTGCCTGGCAGCCATGCCCTGCTTAAGCTCCCTACCGGGTTGCGTCGGGCCTACTCCATCGTCCAGGGCCATATGGATCGCTTTACGCTGGGGGTGGCCCTGGACGAAAGCAGTCGCGGCGGGTCGAGCTATATCCACCAGTCTCTTAAACCGGGGGACATGGTCTCGGTGGCAGATATCACTCAGGGGCTACCGATCGACAAGATGGCGTCTCATCACATCTTCATCGCGGGGGGGATAGGTATCACCGCTCTGCTGGCGATGATAAAACGACTCAAGGACACAAACCAGGACTACCATCTTCATTATGCCGTGCGGACCGCCACCGACGTCGCCTTTAAACCTCTTCTTGCCGAGCTAGAACCCCACATCACCATCTACGACAAATCCCAAGGCCAACGCCTGGACATGACCGAGATCCTGCAACATCGCATCTGGAACAGCCACGTCTACGTGTGTGGGCCGCAGCGCATGATTGATGCCGTGGTCCAGACCGCCACCGCGGTAGACATGGCTCCTAGTGAGGTGCACTACGAGCTCTTCCAAGGGGATACCACCGGTGACCCTTTCACCGTGGAAGTCATCTCCCCGGACCGAAAGGCGGAGGAGCTGCAAGTCGGTGCCGAGAAGTCGCTTCTGGAGGTTGTGCGAGACGCCGGCTTTGAGATTGGCAGTTCCTGTGAGGTAGGAAATTGTGGTGCATGTAGAGTTCGCGTCCGGTGTGGACGGGTGCAGCACCGAGGCACTGCCTTGACGGAATCAGAACAGAGGTCTGAGATGTTGGCTTGTGTTTCCCGTGGTATTGGTCATATTGTTGTCGAGGTTGGTGAATAATTTGGAAACTGGATAGGTTTGTTTTGAATGGAGTCTAGAGGAGGGGGGGGGGGGGTGGGGGGGGTGAAACGTTAGAAATGGGGAGCGGTGCTATGTCCTCGGGATTAATGGATGGGAAAAGATGTACAGGGAAATTAGAGAGATAGAGGCTAATGACATCGACTATACTTAGTGTATATACACTAACACTATACAGTGAATACAATCGAGAAATGAGATATGATAACCTCTCTCTCCTCTCAGGCAAAGGATTGACGGGCTGGGATTGTCAGCACTAATACTTTGCGCTGAAATTGGCTGCTCTAGGTCATCCTTTCAACCTGGCTTCTAATGCAGGCAGGGTGGAGCAAATCCTACTACGCAAGGCGAGGATACTACCCAGTCTCTGTCTACTATCAATTGGATGCATGGGACCTTTCTTATGGAGGTCAATATAGAGGGGTGATGTAACCCTGCTAGATTTTAGTGTGTCCCAGGCACCAATCAACACGCTGTGAAGGCAAGGAAGCCGACCACATTCTTGCGAGCACGAGTCAGCCTGGAAGTTCCGCCAAAGTATGACTTCATATCTGACAGTGCTTGAGTCCCTGGGGGGAGATGTCAGGGCGTCTGAATGAAGAAAGAAGCACGGGAAAATAAGAATGACTAGGCACTGAGGTATCTATGGGGAATGGCTTATCGCAGGTCCATGCGTCAGGTAGTTGGTATCAATGAACAGGATTCATAACGTCATACTAATCCCTATCACATGATAGACAGCAGAGAACAGATACAGATAGATAAAGAGAGCAAGATTCGATCACATCCTTCTCAACTTCATCAAATTAGGCAGCACCATTCCCACAACCCAACCTTCCACACACCCAACATCACCTCTCCCCCCCCCTTCACTCATACTCTAAATACAATACTTGTAAGAAGTCGAACACACATGGCAATAATTATACGACAAACAAAGCGCATGATTATAGCAGCGCGGATGACTGCACGTACCACTGCTACCACAATGCGAGCAAGTGATATCCTCATCCCTCTTAGTGACACCACCACCAGCAGCAGCAGAAGCAGCAGCAACATCCTCATCATCACCATTAGGATTGCGCTCCGCCCAAGTAGCAGCCGCGCTGGCCAACGCCGCGTCCAGCTCCGTGCACAAAGCATCCGCCGCCACGGCGATGATCTCTTCGTCCGCCGTCTTGAGGTAGTATCCGCCGTTTTCGTCGTGGAGGAGGCCGTCGGAGTTGGCCCGGGCCAGGTCGTTGAGGGTTTGGCGGTCGTACATGATGGTTGCGTTCGAGGGGGGCGGGGTGTGGTACCGCGTGAGGTTTTGGGCCATGGTGGTTGCGAGGATGGATAGGAAGGTGATGAGGAGGAATTGCATGGTGGAGGTTGATTCGAGGGTATTTATATAGACTGGATGAATGGATAAAGGCGAGATGAGTCACGGTTTCGGGTATCAGGCTGAGCTTGGGCACGAGGAATAGGATAAGTGCTGTGGGATGGAGAGTTGATAACGGGAGAGTTGCTCCCTTTTATTCTTGAGTAACTCGGTAGGGAGTCGGATGAGGTAGCTAGCTAGCTATCTATCTGTCCATCTGTCTATCTATTTGGCTTGGTTATAGCGAAAATACTCCCCAAGGAACACATCGGCAGCGGTATGCGCAGAGGTCTTCCTACCAGGGCCGAGCCCGTCGGCGTAAGCTACGGAAATCCGGACTATGCGCTATCTATCATCACAATAAGATAGCAGAGATAGGCCGGATCGAAGCAGACTAAGATTAATTAGAGTCCCGAGAGCTTTCTGGTCAGAAATTAGAGTCGTCGAGGGTGCGCGGCTTTCTATGATAGATATATTAACACCGGGCTTTTGCACCCAATGAATGCTTAATGAACTCCTTGGGTCTTAGCATCGACCGTGAGCTAGAGAAAGGCTTATCAGAGGCTAATTTAATGTCCACCGGGACGTTTTTGATTTGTTAGATCGTATTCTTTTAGATTTTAGTCTAGCTTGGTGTTCCGCGATTTTCATTACGGTCTGTCCAGCGTGGTTTGGGGCAGAGATGGCCTCAATCTATTTTCAGAAGTGACCCGGGAGATTATATTGTTATCATACGTTTGATGACATAGGTAGGAATTGGTTGCAAGGGCATGGTGGCGGCGGTGCGAAGTGTCGTCGTGCCCGGAGTAATTCCTACCCTTTTCTTCATGGGTCATGGGTCATGGGTCATTTATCGCGAGGAGTCGTCGAGGTTTACTCGCTCCGAGGAATAGTAGTAGGTATCTAGGAGAGGGGCGATAGATTAAGAGAGGGGAAGCGGAAGGCAAGGCTGCTGGATTGATTTCCGTGCCTTTACGTAGTCGGGCTTATTGCCTCTCCATGAGCTGCCTCCTCCGCCGTTGACTCCGGCGTCAATTGATTCCTGATGGCTGGCGAGTGGTGAGTGTTCTCCTGAGTTCTCGGGCTAGTCTGGTAGTAGTTAATTGACACAGTATCTAGTCCATCCTCTCCATCCAGAGTTGGCGGGAACATCCGACCTGGCCGGGTTGTGCCCGTCCGACTGATGATAAGCCTTGCACGATCGGGGCCGGGCCGGGCTGGTGCCTCGACCGGCTCGGCGGGTCACCCTAACTTTCCTCCGACGGCTACTATATGGGAACTAGGCACTGCCATATTTGATGGGGGTTTAATTCCCTTTGATTAATTGTAGCAGGGGAGGTGAATACCTATGGTAGAGAGGCAAGCCAACATCGCGTCCGCCGGCCCAGCAGTGGGTCCAGGTAGACAAGGTCTTCCAAGTGGAGCTTTATTGTAAGTCGTGATACCTAGAATAGGTCCGCTTGTGGGCTCTTATTTCTCAGGATTAGGAAATGCCGCTGCAGTACACGAGTAAATCAATTGAATAAGATTGTCATTCTCTTCGAAAGTATCCTCCTGTCCGAGCAGACACAGGTAGCTCGGGTGGCCGGCTTTTGCCTTCACCACTCGATCGCCACAGGAGCTGTGCCTGTTCACACCACCGAAAATGGTCCAAGAAGTCGTCTCGCGCATACACTTTGTCTCTAGCTTGGTATCCCCATGCTGTATCCCGGGTGCCGATAATATCTTTCTCGATAGCAAGTTGACACCCGGCACAGGAGATTCCCCGTTCAAGTTCGCCACTTTCTTTGTCATAATAAGGAAGTGCACATGCCCCCATGAAGTTGTATTTTAGGATTCGGTCAAGTTTCGAAGGTTCATGGCCAATCGGTTGCTCTCTGCAAGCCAACGTAGCTTGATGAAGAGAAACGATCGTAATGCGGGACTTTTGTACAGTTTCATTCATCGAGTATATTCCAGGCAAACATTTGAATGGCCTCAGTTGATCTGATTCCGCTTTGGTCATGCGTAATTGCTTCCGCACCGAGGCGAGAGTCTGCACCTGGGTTTCCGGAGACTCCTGGAGGCATTTGAAGCAGCATCGCTTCCAGGTTGGGAGGCATATAAATCCACCAAACTCCCCGCAAAGGGCGCATGTCTTGGTACATAGTGCGTTGTCGAAGTCGAGTAGAGAAATGTAGATAGCAAGTCGCGTTCGTAACAAGGCGCAGAAAAGGTTCAGTCTATGCGAGACTACTCTCTGGTATTGTTTGAGTGAGTCTACTATCTGTCTTGATCTGAGATTGACTTGACGGAATTTGAACAGAGATTGCATGTCTAGAGTGTACAAGGTGTCAAACAAGAGCTCGAGGGGTAGTCGGTCGAGGTCACTGAGTCCGACATTAGGAGTTCGCTGGAAGGATGTTGCTATTGATGGAATAATAGCGACGTGTTCACGCGCCGAGTACCAGATCACAGAGACAAAGGTCTCTGCGGTGGTAGGCGGTGGTTTGAACAATGGTGTCGGTTTGTTCTTTGTCGAAATGGTATTGAGTGGCAGAGCGGTATCCGCTGGGCATTAACATAGCCATCGTCAAGGCTCCAGTGTCACCTGGAGCACGCCGTGAAGGCTGATGGGTCGTATGGAGCGACGCGATAGTGAACGACGCGACATTGGATCATGGACGAGTGGCTAGGGCTCCTTGCACAGGGAGGTTGAAGGCCTTTGGAGACTAATTCGCCTGCGGTAGAGCATCAAAGCGAAAACCAACACGTCAGAGTCTTCGGAATACCTCGATGAGCTCCCCAGTTCATCACGGGAGTTTGCATTTCCCCGATTGTTGTTGACCACGAGTCACCTGACTAATACATTGTCGCTATTGGAAGCCGCCGATCGTCCTCCTTACCTCATACGTAGATGACCTCGATTTCAGGCTATTCTTATGAAGTCGCCTCAGATGATATTATGTTGCACGTAGAGATTTCTTCTCTTAAGATGAGATCACACAATAACTACTATCCATTGCTGGCCTCATCAGCCAGCAGCACAAGTGGATAAACAGATGCAGATCAGCCTTCAAATCCCCTTTATCATTATTATAATAGGATTACGCGTATTTGGAAAATGGAACTCGGCAGTGATCATATTTGTCTCGGGCTTGCGGGTATAAACTTGATGTGCGGTCTTGACATGCTACCCCAGAATCAATCCGGGTGTAGGCAGGTAGCATATACAATCTACTTATTAGGATATAAATACATCTACCAGATCCGCTTGGCCACCATCTCGTATCGCTGTACATGGTCCATGTTCAGATCTTCCTTGGTGTTTTTGTCCTTTTCCTCTTTGGTCTTTAGTCGGCGCAGTCCGTCTGGGTCGTCTGCGTAGATCCACCGCCGCTGGTCATCGTTGACCTCCACTACGCCCCAGCCCCCTACTCGTCGGCTGCCTTCAACTGCAAATGCCCGTCCACGAGGTGCCGCCCCGTTAGGCTCACCAGAAGGAGCTGCCGGCGGAGGATGGGCCTGCTCGACCTCACGCAGCTTCATCGCCTTGTATCGGGACCGCGCGTACGCCAACAAAACCATGCCCAGGAGCAGCTTCAAGATCAGCAGCACCACAAAGCCAGTAAGAATTAGGACGATGGTAAAGATGTACACCGACTGGGCAGGTGATGGCATAGCGTTAGCGAGCACCTGGCGAAAGAACGCTCCTGCGTAGGCCGTGGACGTTGGGATGAACGTGCGAAGCGTCAACGGGGGCGGCGAGGGCATCGGGGCCGGCACATACTGACGGTGGATGGCTGACAATGACGTAGCCTCTACCGCCGTGGACGACGGCTGTTGCGGGAGCAGGGCTGTTATAAACATCTGATATGTCTGGACTGACACGCGGAAGAAGAGGCAAGACAGTGGGATCACCGGCAATCCCAAGCGCCGAGTCAGATTCTGATCTGCAAACGCGTTGGTGTAGTAGTCCTTCGTCAAGATGTCCAGGAAGCGTCCGTATATGGCCGGCCGCGTGTTGTTGAATTTACCAATGTAGGCATGCTTCAGCCAGTCCACTAGCATCTCCGACCCGAGAACAACCAGGAATGGTCCCAGCACCTGCGCCAGGGTCGGCAGATACGTGTTGACTTGGCTGAATGATGCAATGATCGATGACGGAACGATGGTGAAGGCCTGTGGCAGGATGGACGAGGAGGTTCGAGGCGGTGTCGTTAGAGGCGTGCTGTTTGTACCCGTAGATGCGTACGCTCCCAGACTGGAGCTCAAGCTACCAAGGATGTTGAATGCGCCGGTCTCGACCAAGTTCCGCGACGCGATGATGGTCAGCATCAGCCAAAGCTGGAACCGCTCAACAACATCCGCGCAGGTAAGCTGGAACAGGTTCTCCTTCTCAAACTTCTTGAACACCGTCGACTTGATCTCCACGAACTGGTTTGAGAGCAGCAGGGTGATCAACGCGTTCGAGTACGAGTTCACCGCCACATTCAGCGTCATGACCTGATAGAAAAGCGCCGTGGAATGGATCACAGTATACGCCAGTGCGAGCAAAAACAGGCCGAATGGGCGGAAGACCTTGCTGCGTCCATCCGGGCGACGCTCGAGAGCTTCCCGCGAGAACAGGCATTCAAGTACATCCTGTCCGATGGCAGCGAACAAACGGTCGCTGACCTCGAGCACATTATAGATCACATAGAGTTTGATCGCAGCCTGCCCTCGGATCCAGTGGTACATCCGACTTGCATCAAAGCGCATCAGTACGCAGCAGGTGGCTATCATGAGCAGCCCCTTAAGAATGTCAGCCTTGTCATCCGGCATCAAGGCCGACGGGATGCTCTTCTGCCGCCGGTGCTTGTGGTGTCGCTTGCGTGATTCCGGGGCCCGAATGCGAACCTCTCGTTCCACCGACCCATTTTCCTGCTTTTCAGAGGCGGTGCTTCTCATGGACTCGTCCACCGACGACGCTCGATGCCGTCTCCGCCACACTCGTCCGACGCCTTTGAAGATGAACCCCGTCACATAACGAAATTCCACACCGAGGTTGACCAGCCATGATTCCAGCAGAATATACAATGCTTTGACAAAACGCAGAGGAAGTATCGTGAATGAATGGAGCCAGGAATCAAGACACGCTAATATGCCGAACCAAAGAACTCGCTCCAGCGCCGGAGGCAGCATTAAAAAATTCATCAGTCGCTCAAGCTTTACTCGAGATGACTCGTAAGGAAAGTCGCTCATTGCAGAGCGATGGATATATAGAGGAGAGGGCCGACCCGACGCCAATTCAAGTTGTAAATATGTCGGGACCGATAACGGAGGAAGAGGAATGGATGGGGGCATAGGAGACGGTAGAGCCGGCTCGACAATGTATGGGGATGGTGTAAGGTACTTGGTATCTAACTCTCGATTGATAGATGCGCGCTCTTGTTTCGCTCGGGATGCCCAAGTCTGCGTCAGTCGTTCATTCGTCGCCGGCATAGTCTGTCGGCGCGAGCTAGGAGTAGACACGGCTCGAGAAGCTGGCGGACGACCCCGCAATGATGACATGGATGGCTTCGCTGTGATGGCAGGAACGTCGATGGACAGGTCTTTATGGGATCGAAGTTTAGGGATACTGTCGCCGGTGAGTTTCGTCTCGCTCGAGGAAGGTGTCGCAGATGGGTCGAGCTCCGACTGGAGGGCTGCATGCGTGCCGTCTGACACCGCGCGTCGACCACGCTCAGCCTCCGAAGGAACTGCACGGTAGGGAATAGACTGAGGGGACGATGTGAGTTCCTGCATCTTGGTCGGAGATAACTTCTGTACCCGCTCCTGGTCTTGATCTTGGTTCTTCGCAGGTGATGTGTCCCGCGACCACTGGTGGAGAGCGGAAACAACCTCGGAGCCTTCGAAGACATCCACCAGGGAGGTTCTGGGTGTCGTACGATGATCTGCACCGGCCGGGCCCTCCAACGAGTGTTCAAAGATCATCCCTAGGGTCTGGTCTGACGAGAGCGAAAGCTGACCGCTTTTCTGGTCACCGTTCGTCATGGGTTGGCTGGGAAACCCATTATGGCCATGGTCGCTGGCGACCGCGCCAATTCGATAGACAGTCCCCTCCTTATCGCTCCGATCGTGAGCAGCAGTGACCGAGGCGGTAGGTCCTCCACGTTGCACAAGATGACCAGTCCCGTCGGCACGATCCTTCGCCTCATCCGCGTGATGCGATGCCATGGGCATGCCTCGTCCCTGCTTGTTGCCTTCCAAGTCTTGAATACCATTGTCCATGCCCCTCTCTCGCTCGATCGTTCGGGGGGATGCTGGCGTGTGCTGTCCGCAGGATGCCGCCACGTCGACAGTCTGCAGTCCTTGCTGGTGGGGACGGTCGGATAATTCGCCCATGTTGGTGTTTAGTGCCGGTCAACCATTCTATGACAGTGCAATGGGGGTATCGACCTGAGGAACATCATCCGAAGGGGTATCGAGGGATTGGAGCGGTGGGGTTGGGGAAGGACGGGGACACGGTGGTAGGGGCGGATGATAGCGCCGGAGCCAGGCTAACTGCGCAACGCGACCAGCGGACGAAGACTAGGAGGGGTTCGGTATCATGCTGAATGGAAACCGCAGGCTGCCAGATCCGCCGAGGCGCAAAATTGAGGGGCTTTCTGGAGGAGAGGAATCGGCATGGATGCGTCGCAGCGAGGAGATGCTGGTTGAGAAATGAGACAACCAGGGACCAGCATCCCCGGAGCCCCAAGGCGGTCAGCAGCCTGTCATCCCCAACCTTCTTTCTCTCCGGTTTCATCTTCCGACACCATCAATGCACTACTCTGTACTATACGTCAATATATTACCTAGTGCTACTCATATCGAACTCTCATTACAGATTAGCCTCCACTGGAGCTATCTCGTCCAGAAATAGAACAGTTCTTGGTCTTGTGGGAATCGCGAGCCTTTTCAAGGAAACGCCGGCGGCAAACCAGTCCTCCCATCTTGACCACATTGCGCCCGGCATCAGACCCGCATATACGTTGAGAAGGAAGTGTTTCAGCTCCGGCGTTTCCATGGCCTCCATCTGCTGTCGCTGATTTGTCTGCTTAACAATTTGTGTCATGCGCGCGAAGCGAAGATCCTGCACTTGATCAAACATCGACTTGATCTCCGACTCGGATAACGGCCCTAGGGACGAGTCCTGCGATAAAGCCCTGGCCAGACCGTTTACTACCGCGGCTGCACTCTCAATGGCCTGATTCCCACCTTGCGCAGTAATTGGGAGCACCTGCCAAATCCACGGGTTAGCCGCCTCATTCTACTTGCAGCGGGATTCGGCCTTTTTACCTTGTGACAAGCATCTCCGATGGTAATCATCCTTCCCAGATGCCAATTCTTGTAGACGAATTCGGCCATGGGCGTGCAGCTGGTGGTCAATGCGCGGCTGTAGAGATCCGACAAGCGAATATCTGGCGTGATCTGGTCATTCATGTGGTCTTGAAGGATCTTCTCCTTGTCTTCATCGGTGAATCGCGGGATATCAGCGCCATAGTATATCTGGTCCAGTTTGTTCACAATGAACCAATACACACGGTCATTGGGGCCGGTGCCTAGCACATATGAGAAGCCCTCGTTGGCCACAAATTCGAGGCAGCGACTCGGGAATCCCGGGACGGAATCCGACATGCCAAAGAGACAACTGTAGCTTGCAGCAACCTCTGTCACTTGGTTAGTATCATCACCTTAGACTCAGACAGAGAAGGCCATGCTGAACTGACTGTTTTGTTCCGCATAATCCTCCCCCAAATCCATCTCCTCTGCACGCTTGGCGATCTCCTTCCGTACCGCGGAATGGGTCCCGTCAGTCCCAACCACAATATCGCCCGCGTATGTCGACCCATCCGCCGTAACCACAACATCCCCGGTCTCGGTGTGCGTAACAGACACCAACCGCTTACCAGTCAACAGCTTGGACTTGTCCGCAATGTGATCGTACAAAACCTCGAGTAGCGACTTCCGATCCATCCACACCCAAGGATATCCGTGCCTGGCGATTCGGTCAGCGGCAGGTCAAACCAGTGTCCTTTTAGTAAAACCCGCCTTTTGGTAGCCCCCTCCTCCAAACCAGCCTCCATCCCCCAAATTACCTCTCCACCAGGCTTCCGAGCGTGCATCTGATCAACACTTGCCGAGTGACTAAGAATATCCTCGTAACAACCAAGCTGATCAAGAATTCGAAGGCCATTTGGTGATAGCGCGATACCCGCACCTACTGTAGCCACGATATCCGAGTATGCTTCTAGGAGGAGATAATCGATACCATGCTTCTCCAACATAAGGGCGATGGCAAGACCGGCTACTCCACCACCCACGACGATGACTTTGCACGGTCTAAGAGCCATTGTGATCTTCCAGAAATATATAAGAGCTGAGGATGCAGTTTCACAGTAAGCGGAATGATACTCTTAATCGGAGTCGGCTAATTGAGAAGAAACATGGTTGACTTTATAATCCCCTGTGGCCCCCATTTTCCATAGTACCGCTGGCTCTGGAAATAGCTGCATGCAGCCATTGGTGAATTCATTTAGCTTTCGTGGCGGTGGTGGTGCTGAGTTGCGTACCCGATATACCCGGTGGGCTTAGTGCTTACTTCTACCATTGCTTGCAGTGAGCGCTATTTATCCATGTGGGCTGACGCGGAGGTTAGTACCAGCCATTGAAAAAGACTGTCATTTTCTTTGCCGTACTGTTACTACTTGGATCTACGCATTGCATACTACCTTAAAGATCAAATGTCAGACACACAAAGCATCCGTATCTCCACTGTGGGGATGGATACCTTCAATGCCAAGCACTTCCCACCAAAATGGATGTAGGAATAACTACACCATTCTCACTCACAAATATCATTAAACATTACTTTACCCAATCCCTACATCCTGTATATACTTATAAGGGGTCTACAGGCGCTGCACTCCGCGCAGTGCACCCTTTTAAATTGTAAACATCCAATCACATGAATTTCCTTAAAGATTCCTATGAATATGAATAATTGTCGGCCAACCTGTGATGCCAGTTCGCTAACAGATATCTACAGACTTGTATTACTATACAAAGAGAGACGTGAAACATTAAAACCAACTAAATAATTAACTAAAAACTCTAAAAGACCTGTATAAAATATATAAAGATAAATAATGATAAGTTATTAATAATAATATTAAAGTAGATTTAATAAATAGGATAATTATTATTACACTACTTACTATAGATTATACTGGGAATGTTAATAATGATTAATACTATTATTATTTTTTATTCTAGTAAGAACATTTTTTACTTATAGATCATTTAGAAAGTGAATAACTTTATCTTAGGCTATTTAAAGAATTTAAAGATGAAGAAAATATTCAGATAACAGAAAAGTTATATGATATAAGATAAAAGATAAAGTTTGAATAAAAATTAAGAAGGATATAAACAGGATAACAGACAGGTTATAAGATATAGATATATAATATATAGATTAATTATAATAAGACAATTTAAGAAATAAAGCAGGAAAAGTAAGAATGTATATATAAAAAGTGAAAAAAGAAAACTATTATATATTAGAAAAGGACTGAAATGTTACAGACCCCTGCTAGCCAGGTTACTAGCGGAGCGGACTAGTCAGGCAGAAAGTGATGACCAGGCAGGACTCGGGCAACCAACAACTCTTATTGAGTAGAATCCCGGTCAGAGTAACATCCGAGGCAGCGCTGTGTCACGTGACCATCTACCATCAGATCTACCATCGAGAATATACGATATGGTATACGGGATCTAGAAACGTGATTAGATCAACCCTCGATCTACCCTGGAGGGTATACGAAATGGTATATAAAGAATAGGATATAAGGACACTCTTTTATATATTTAGCTAGTTCTGTTCTTCGTGCTTAATAACACTGTCTTTAAGTAACCATACATTTTGATAAAGCTTAGCGACAACACTCGTCTGCACTTACTTATGGATAGCTGCACGGCACTATCTGGCCTTACTTCTCTTCTTCTATTCAGGACCAGTCCTCTTTAGATAGTCATCAACCTGACTTACCTTGATTCAGTTCAACAGTATGTCTTGGAATAGAAACTAAGCTAACAGGAACAGGGAAAAGTGATTCTAGGGTTTGATATATTGAGCACCAGTCAGTACAAGTATTATCTAGTAATAACTATTCATTATATTAACTATATTGAACTCATCGAGCGCCCCACAGTAGCAGGGCCTAATAATACAGGAACTGATGGGTATGGTTATGTCAAACCCTAGGATCGCTTCTCCCTGTTCCTGTTAGCTTAGCTCCCGTTCCGATACGTACCTTGTGAACTGAATCAAAGGTAGTCAGGCTGTTGACTATCTAAAGGTGACTTGATCTGAACAGAAGAAGAGAAGTAAGGCCAGATAGTGCCGCGCAGCTATCTGTAAGTAAGTGCGGACGAGTGTTGTTGCTAAGCTTTATCAAAACATATGGTTACTTAAAGATAATTGGATTGAGCACGAAGAACAGAACTAACTAAGTACGTGAAGGAGTGTCCTTATATATCTGTTCCCTGTATACCTTTCCATATACCATCGGGTCTGTTGTATACCCACTTGGTAGTTATAGACCATGATGGTATGTTGTATACCACATGCTTGTCTGTATACCATGGTCACGTGATCTGTGCTGCTTGATGGTTTGGGTCAGGATCCTCCTTGATAAGAGCCCCCTTCCGTCTGGATGTGGTCTTCTGCCTGATATATCCGTCTTACTAGTTGTTCAGCTAGCAGGGGTCTGTAATACCACCTTCCCTCCTTCAAGGTTCTTGTTCTCAAGAACATAAAGGTGCGTGTCCCTCGTCCAGGTCGGCTGAGTCCCTTAGTTTTCTTTTTTCCTTGAGATAGATCATTATATCTCTGTGTAATTATTACAAGAAGCGCTGTCAACAGGCTGACTGGATTGTTCGTAACAGTATCCAGGTTGACTTTTCTTATACTTAGTGTGATTTTTATAGTCTTTCTTGTTTTATGGATTCTAAAAACCGAAATTGTGCGGTCTGTACTCGTCATGGCCGAAAATGTGAAAAATGATTTCACAGTAATTCTGAGTAGGATAAGCTTCAATGTGATGAAGAAAAGATAGCTTAAGAGATTAAAGAGACTGAAGAACAGATTAAACTATTATTTATGAAAATGAAACAGTTACAAAAACATTGCAGGTTTCTGAAGGATCATGGTGGTCGGATATTGGATCACGACTCGACTATGTTGGAGCGGCTGAATGAGGAGGATCCCTTAAGTGCTGAGGATCTCCGAGAGCTAGAGCATCTGGCTGACGAATATGACGCTACTCAGCTTGCCGCTGTGTCAGACACTCCTAGTCTGACTCAGTTGGTTGGTTCCTCTTTGTTCTGGGCGAACTTTGACCTGTCTGTCGGTGGTACTGCTCCACAAGCTGATAACAGCCCGTTAAATTCTTGATAGGTTCTCACATGTTTTCTGAGGTATCATACTCTACTTATTTTACTAGATATTTTGACCTGCCGCTAATCTTCTTATAGTCTAGGATCTTTTTAACTTCATATTCTTATTCTGTGTTATTATTAATCTCTATACTTTCTATAATTCTAGTGTTTTTTGGTGCGGGTTTCAACAATGAGATATGAAATACTGGGTAAATTCTGTTCATTGATTTTGGCAATCTTAACTGGTAGTTAACTAGTCTCTTCTTGTTTTTAATGATAAATGGTCCTAGCTTGTGATAATCAAGCTTTTAATTTAGTTGTTTTGTCCTGATGTTTTTATAGAGTAGGAACACCTTCTTCTCTCTTTTAAGATCAGGCTTCTTTTTGTGTCTGTGATTGTAGTATATCTTACTGTGTAAGTTCATGAACTTAATATCTCAGGATAACTGTAGATATATGTTTTCTGTAAATATAATAATATTCTTAACTATATCAGTAACTTACTGCTTTCTTAATAACATTTCCAGAAACCTCGGGTAATATCTGTAATTAGTGTAGAATAGTGAGACTCTAATGGTTAAGTAACTGGTGTTATTATATAAGAACTGTGTTATTAATAACAGATTTATTTAATTATTTTGCTGGTAGTTTATGTAGTGTCTTAAATATTATTTAACTATCTAGTTAACTCTTTCTGTTTATCTATTTATCTGTGGGTGGTAAGTTATTGTTATTTATTTTTCTATTTTTATAAGATCTGTAAGTGATCTTCAGAACTTTAAGATAAATAACTTATCTTGATTTGATATAATATACTTTAATATTTTATAATATATGATAATATTTTTTAGAAATAGTTCTGTCATCTGTATTATTGTTATTATTATCTTACTTAGTATAAGATAGATGTATTTAGTGAGATAATCAGTAATGACTGTAATAGTATTAAATCTCTCTGATTTTGGTAGTGGATCAATAAAGTTAATTGTTATCTATTTTTATAGCTGTTATGGCACCTTTTATACTTATATTTATCTGTAGGGTTAGTATCTTGCAGACTTATTCTTAATACAAGTCTTATATTGTTTAACATAATCATGTATTTTTTGTCTGAGGTTCGGAATGTAATAATTTCTTATAATTAGTTTAGTTATCTTTTTAACTTTTAAATGATTCTTGAGTAGTTTATTATAATATTTAGCTATAATCTTTATCCTCATCGTGGTTAGTATAAAGATTAATCTATAAAAATGTGCTAGTCTATCTTTATTAATAATAATCTTATTTAGTGAGTCTTTGCTTATTTCCTGGAGTGCTTTATTATTTTTCATATTTTCAGCTAATTGCTTGATTAGGTTACTACCTATTTCCAATATTGCTACTAAGTTAGTCTTATTATAGCTGATTAACCCATCCGTGTTTTACTTCAGGATGGCTGGTTTAATAGCCTTTCTATTTAATTTATAGTCTGGCCTGTAGCTCAGCATATCTATGTGTTTATTCTCTACTCTCTTACAGTATATAATTCTGAAGTCATATTATAACAGAATCTCAGCCTATCGTGCCTGCCTTCTGGTCAACTCTTTAATTATTATAAAGTAAGTTAAGTTCTTATGGTCTGTCTTTATAATGACAGTGTGCTTTGCCTCTTCAAGGTAGACCCTCTACTGTTTAAATATTATTACTATAGCTAGTAATTCCTTGTTATGAATGTTGTAGTTGAGTTCTACTTAAACTAATTTCCTTAAGTGAAATATAATTAATCTTAACTTTCTGTCTTCTCTGGGTTGTGTCATATACATATTAACAGTATAATCCGATATATTAGTTTTGATGGTTATTTCTTTCTCTAGGTCGTGCTATACTAGTACTAATAATATAATAAATCATTACTTAATATCTTTAAATGTACTCTGCTGTGGTTCTTTTCACTAATACTTCTTTAACTTTTTTATAAGCTTGAAGAGTGGTGTTATATAGATAGCATATCCGTCTATAAATCATTGATAATAATTAACTAATCTGATGAACTGCTGTAGTTCTTTTAGATTTCTAGATTAAGGCTAATCCTGTATGGCTTACATCTTAGCTCACTCAGTATGA